CATTCACACACACCAAATTGATATCCACTAGCGTGACGGGAAATATCTGATTTATAGTAGCTGAAAGCCAGAGGTGGCAAACACCAAACACACACACACACACACAGAGATACAAGCAAGCTAGAAGTGAAGTTCTGCAGCCGGCCCAAAAACTCGGCGACAGCAGCTGTGTGTTTTTATCACCTACCGGGGACTCGACTATTACATTGTGGTCTGGGGCAGACAGAAAAAAAAGGGGGAGACTCGGTACTGTTACTCTGTTTGCTCGTCCTGTGGGAGTCGTACAGCAGAAGTGTGTATGAGGCCACTGCAGGCCTTTTTTACTCATTATCGGCAGATTTCTGCAAGTGTTGTTGGAGTTTGTGGGTCGTTTAGATGCTGAGTAAATCAGCAGGACTAATATGGAAGCGCTGGCCAATTGAATAAGCAGACAGAGGACCGCACAGGAGGTTATGGACTGAATCAGCGGTTCCTCCGGGGGGGATAAAAAGACACAGTAATGATGTCACAAGCTGAGCTTGCCATGTAATCCAGCATTATGGGGACATTATTATCTGGAATGGTGAGGAAACACTGGAGTGTGTGACTGCAGCAAGTGATTCATCATGAAAAAGTAATAAGCGCTGCGTTTTCAAGTTTTACTATTGGTTTAGGAAAAGTACAAACTTGTTAGAAAGTAAGAGCAATAACAAAGTATGCTGGTTATTAGGGATGCAATGGTTCTCGGTAAAAAAAAAACGTATCGTCCTGTTGTTCTTCAACGGTTTGGTGCGTCTTGCGATCCGCGGTTAATATGCATTATTAATATTGGTTTGTTAATAAAAACCACTGCAACAAAGCAGTTCTACCTTTGTAGCTTCCGATTACCTTTCAAGTCCATTGCACGTGCAAAGACCTGTCCAATCACCTCTTAGCATGTAAAACTGTTGTTGACATCATGTTTCCTCACGTGTGTGCGTGGACTTTCTGTGTGTTTCAGCTTGGCATGTGAAGGAGATACAGCGCAAATGTGCAGATGAGGCCAAATCACAGCGCATTGCTGTCAGTGTTTCAACAGACACTAAATATGAATTCAAACAGACACAAAAACATAAGGAATGCCGTTTTTTGTTGTTGTTGCAAAGAATAGTGGTCACAAGGGCTTAACATTAACACCCTCTGGACTGCTTTTCTTGAATATGTAGGTCCCAGGATTTCAGGTACATTTTTGCAAAACCTTAGATCACCATAAACCTTGGTTAATATATGCATTCTTCTATTATTATTATGACTTTGTATTTATATGTCTTCTTTTTAATCTTCATTCAGTTCTGTAATGTTGTAAAAATTTGTTGGTTGTAAACTGTGGTCATTGTTGTTTTTTTTTGTTAAAATAAAGGCAAAAAAAAAGAATGATAAAAGCACAGATTTAGGCTTTAAATCTTTATATAAATGTTTTAGCAAAAACAAAATTTAGGATTTACAAACAATTTAATAACAAAAAAATATTAATTTAAATATAATATTTACAATAAATTAACAAATAGTCCTAATAATTTATTAACACCAACTTAATAATTCATAAAAACACCTAATAATAAAAATAACTATAACAATTATGCTATTGTGCACTGCTGTGGACACTAATATTATTCTCATATTCTTCTAAATCAACACATAAAATGCTAGAACTTTGACATTTTGATTCATTCATTAATTCCAACTAAGTGTGTAAATAGCTTTGGGTTTGTAGTTCATTGTCATATCCGTAAAAAATGTGGTTCTAGTTATTTTCTGCACAAGATAAAAGATCTCTTAGTCTGGTTAATATAGTTAAAGATTCTGACATGTCTAGATGCTTGGCTGATTTTCCTATAGAGTCACTACAGTTCTTTTTGTTTAAGAGCAAACTCTATCGTAGACTTGTGGTTAAACTTTAGCCCACCTTTCATGAGAAACAAATTTGACCTTCTGTTTGTGAAAAGATGAAAAATGGAATTTGGTGAACTGTGAAAAACAGAGAGTAGTTGCTTTCACATTTTCAGGAGAATAACACCACTTCAAATAGATATTTTTAATTGCAATTTTTTTTCCAGATAAACATATAAATGTATAAGATAAACAAAAGTCCAATCAGTCTATCAGTAAATGACAAAATATGCTAGTAGAACCAGCAACAACAAAAACAAGAAAACTGTAGAACTCTCAAATCAAACCAAAACTCGTCGACCCATGTTGTTATGTTGAGATCATGAGAAAATGAGTCGTGATGACTTGATAACAACTTCTGGTTATGTGGAGATCACCAGAATATTAAGTCGTCATGATGAGAAAACAACTTTTTGTTGTTTACATTACAAGAAAATTAAGTTAGGATTACACAAAAACAACTTTTTTTATGTTAAAATCAAGAGAAAATTGACACGATGACAAGACATTTTTATTTTTTTTAAATAGTTGCAAATTTATTAAAAATAAAAAAGCTGAAAAATCACATGTACAGAAGTACTGACAGCCTTTGCTGTGAAGCTCTAAAATTGAGCTCAGGTACATACTGTTTCCACTAATCATCCTTGAGATGTTACAGCAGCTTAATTGGAGTCCACCTGTGGTAAATTCAGTTGACTGGACATGATTTGAAAACGCATACACCTGTCTATATAAGGTCCCAGGGTTGACAGTGCATGTCAAAGCACAAACCAAGCATGAAGACAAAGGAATTGTCTGTTGATATCCGAGACAGGATTGTCTCGAGGCACAAGGCTGGGGAAGGTTACAAAAAACTTTCTGCAGCTCTGAAAGTTCCAATGAGCACAGTGGCCTCCATCATCTGTAAGTGGAAGAGGTTTGAAACCACAAGGACTCTTCCTAGAGCTGGCCGGCCATCTAAGCTGAGTGATCGTGGGGGAAATGCCTTAGTCAGGGAGGTGATCAATAACCCAATGGTCACTCTGTCTAAGCTCCAGTGTCCTTCTGTGGAGAGAGGAGAACCTTACAGAAGGACAACCATCTGTGCAGCAATCCACCAATCAGGCCTGTATGGTAGAGTGGCCAGACGAAAGCCACTCTCCGCCTTGAATTTGCCAAAAGGCATCTGAAGGACTCTCAGACCATAAGAAACAAAACTCTCTGGTCTGATGAGACTAAAATTGAACTCTTTGGAGTAAATGCCAAGCGTTACGTTTGGAGAAAACCAGGCACCACTCATCACTAGGCTAATACCATCGCTATAGTGAAGCATGGTGGTGGCAGCATCATGCTGTGGGGACATTTTTCAGCAGCAGGAACTGGAAGAGTAATCAGGATAGAGGGAAAGATGAATGCAGCAATGTACAGAGACATCCTGAATGAAAACCTGCTTCAGAGTGTTCTTGACCTCAGACTGGGGCGATGGTTATTCTTCCAGCAGGGCAATGACCCAAAGCACACCGCCAAGATATCAATGGAGTGGCTTCACAACAACTGTGAATGTCCTTGTGTGGCCCAGCCAGGGCCCAGACCTAAATCCTATTGAACATCTCTGGAGAGATCTGAAAATTCCTGTACACCATCGCTTCCCATCCAACCTGATAGAGCTAGAGAGGTACTGCAAAGAGGAATGGGAAAAAATTCCCAAAGACAGGTGTGCCAAGCTTGTGGCATCATATTTAAAAAGACTTGAGGCTGTAATTGCTGCCAAAGGTGCATCAACAAAGTATTGAGCAAAGGCTGTGAATACTTCTGTACATGTGATTTTTAAGGTTTTTTTCACATTGTCATTATGGGGTATTGTGTGGAGAATTTTGAGGAAATAAATGAAGTTAATCCATTTCGGAACAAGATCCAGATGCACTGTATATCAAGATAACAAGAAAATTAGGTTATGACAATGAGAAAACAATTCATGTCGAGATCACAAGAAAATTGCCACGACAGCAAGAAAACTTTTAGTTATGTTGAGATCATGAGAAAATTAAGTCATGATCACCAGAAAAACTTTGTTATGTCAAGATAACAGGAAAATTAAGTCGTGATGATGAGAAAACAATTTCATGTTATGTTGAAATTATAAGAAAATTAAGTTAAACAACTTTTTGTTGTTTAAATTGCAAGAAAATTAAGTTGTGATCACGAGAACAATTGTTACATCGAGATAACAAGAAAATTAAATCGTAATAAGGAGAAAACAGTTTTTGTTATGTTAAGATCGAGTAAATTAACTTGTGATAACCAAAAAACAACTGTTTTGTTGAAATTATGAGAAAATTAAGTTATGATAACAAGGAGAAAACTTTTTGATATGTTGAGATCACAAGAAAACTTGTGGTAACGAGAAAACAACAATTGGTTATGTTGAGATCATGAGAAAATTTACTTGTGATAGCCAGAAAACAACTTTTTGTTATGTTGAGACAACGAGAAAACCAAATTGTGATAACGTGAAAACAAGACAAAAAATATTTGAATGTGTGGCCTCTTAGGACTTAAGTGTAAATAAATGATAACATTTTAATTTTTTTGCGTGAACAACCCCTTTAAAGGCATTAAATCATGACAGCACGATGACAATTCAAATCTTATCAAACAAAGCTTGTGAATGCTTCCATTATTAATGGATTTTCCAGATAAATGCAAGCATTCTTTACAGCTAATGAATGTCAGACGTGCGATTGAAAGAAGCGGCGGTGCTTGTCAGAGTCAGACAGCGGCGTAACACCAGCCTCCTTAAAGTATCGAGTGGCAGGGTGTCCCATCAGTTAAGAGCGAGTCAGAACGGCTGCTGTTCTGCCTCGCTGGAGTGCATAAATCCTTTATCATCACGGTTCAGGCCCCGCGGTGGCACACAGGGCTGCCGTAAAGGGACGGGTGTGCGGCACTGAACGTATTGAGAGCGGATCGCTGTTTAGGGATTATGCGAGTTCGCCACTGACAGGTTTAGTGGAGTGGCAAAGAGAAGCGCTTCTGTGTAATCTCCTTTCCGTGAGAGCGAAGATTTAGAGAATCAAATGAGAGAGAAATAGGAGAGAGCGAAATTCAATTACCTGCAGTTTGGTGAGTGTTGGCCTCGGGCCCCCGATGAAGGGCTCTTGCTTTGGTTTGGGCTCTTCGCTGGCTTGTGGGGGGGCGTCCTGCTGGGTAAGACAAGGGTCGGCCGCACTGAGGGTAAGAAAGACCATCCCACAGTCCTTTGCGGCTCTCAGTACACCGGAGAGCTCCTGTGTGCGCTGGTACCATCTCAGCAGTAAGGGCAGATGGGATAGCGTGGAGGGAGAGTGAGTTCGGAGAGAGATCTGAAAAGGGTTTAATCAGAGACGTGGTAGATTTTAATTTAAAGAGCCTAAAATAGAAAGTCTGAGTATAAAAAGGACAGTAAATGAGATCCAGTTGAAGTCAGAATTATTAGCCCCCCTGAATTATTCGCCCCTCGTTTATTTTTTTTTCCAGAATTTTTGTTTAACAGAGAGATTTTGTTCAACACATTTCTAATCATAATAGTTTTAATAACTCATCTCTAATAACTGATTTATTTTATTTTTGCCATGACAGTAAATAATATTTGACTAGATGTTTATCAAGACACTTCTATACAGCTTAAAGTGACATTAAAAGGCTTAACTAGGTTAATTAGGTTAACTAGACAGGTTAAGGTAATTAGGCAAATTATTGTATAATGATGGTTTGTTCTGCAGACTATGAAAAAATATATAGCTTAAAGGGGCTAATAATTTTGACCTTAAAATGGTGTTTAAAAATTAAAAAACTGCTTTTATACAAGCTGAAATAAAACAAATAAGACTTTCTCCAGAAGAATAAATATTTTCAGACATACTGTAAAAATTTCCTTGCTCTGTTAAACATTTCGAAAATATTTTAAAAGAAATTCAAAGGGGTTTAATAATTCTGACGTCAATTGTGTATCACAATAAAACACTTTAAAACATCAAAAAAATAAATAAATATATATATATATATATATATATGATTTTCTGCCGTTTAAGGCAAGTCTGTGTAAAATTGAATAGTAGCGCATATTGTTATTCTTAGGGATGCTCATTTCGGTTAATTTTGCTAACCTACAACCACCACTCATTAATCGAATTTTAACTGTTAACTAGTCAGATTAATATTAAATTATTAAATTATTAATGTACATGTATATTTTGCGTCTGATGCATTAAAATACTGATTTATTTTAATATGCAAACATACAGTTGAAGTGAGAATTATTAGCCCCCCCTTTATTTTATTTTTTTGTTTTCTTTATTAAATATTTCCAAAATGAAGTTTTAACAGAGCAAGGAAATTTTCACAGTATGTCTGATAATATTTTTTTTCTTCTAGAGAAAGTCTTATTTTTTTTATTCTGACAAGAATAAAAGCAGTTTTTAATTTTTTAAACACCATTTTAAGGACCAAAGAGCATAAACAGATATATGATAAATAATATATAGTCTAACATTATAATACGTTTTAATCAATGAATAATCGACTACATAAAAGTGACTAGTTTCTTACACATTACATCCAAATCCTTTTGTTTTTATGCAATTATTTTTTAACTTTTGTAGCCTGTGAATGAACTGAAATCACTCAGCGTAGTGATATGGAACTGTAATGAGTTCAAAACCTGCCCGGAACTACTTTAGCTGTGTGTTTATATGAAGGAAAAAAACAATACACACCTTATAATGTCTATCAACCAATCAGAATCAAGCATTAAACAATCATGCATTCGCTTTTAAGCTTAGTCCCTTTATTAATCTGGGGTTGCCACAGCGGAATGAACCGCCAACTTATCCAGCATATGTTTTACGTAGCGGATGCGCTACACCCATACACTCTCTCATTTACGCACATACACTGTAGCCAACTTAGCTTACTCAATTCACCTATAGCGCATGTCTTTGGAACTGTGGGGGAAACCAGAGTATCCAGAGGAAACCCAAGCAAATACGGGGAGAACATGCAAACTGCCAAGTGACCCAGCCGAGGCTCAAACCAGCGACCTTCTTGCTGGGAGGTGAAAGTGCTATCTACTGCGCCAACGTACAGATTTATGGATAGACATATTTTGATTTATGCTGCATAAACATATATGATAAATCATACATAGTCTATAATACATTTTAATCAATGAATAATGACTAGTTTCTTAAACGTTACATCCAAATCCTTTTTTTTTATTCAATTGTTTTTTTTTATTTTTGTAGTCTGTGAACGAACGGAAATCACTCAGTGTAGTGATATGGAACTGTAATAAGTTCAAAACCTGCCCGGAACTACTTCAGCAGTGTTTATATGAAGGAAAAAAACAATACACACCTCATAATGACTATCAACTAATCAAAATCAAGCATTAAACAGCACAGTAGCATACAAATTAAATAATAATTTTTGTATAAATTATTTATTAAATGATAAATTAAACCATTAAAGTGCAAGTAAAATCAAAATAACCATACTAACTTATATTTTGTTAGCTCACATTGCTAGTTGGATAAGTTGGCGATTCATTCCGCTGTGGCGACCACAGATTAATAAAGGAACTAAGCCGAAAAGAAAATGAATGGATGAACTGCTAGATGTGGCGAACAATTCATCTGTGTTAAAGTCTCAGATTAGGTCTGTCTGAGGTGTTAGGCGTGGCTAACATACTTAACCACGCCCCTCCATCTGTCAGTTTTGACAACAGGCAGAAATAGTGAGCGGGAGTCTGTTAGCTTGTAATAACTCTCCCCAACACCATTTTCCCAATATTTCCAAATGAAATACCTACTTTACTACATCCAATCAGCTCGCAGTAGAAAAAAACAAGCCACGCCTACAGTTCTCTCATTTAATCTTGCATTTCTCAAAGGAACTGTCACAATACAATAGCAGCTTCAGGGTCATGTGGACTATAAAATTCAATCAACTCTGAAAATAATATCCAAAACACATTCATCAGATGCACAATCGGTTTGGCAAATGGGCGACGCAGTGCAATTTAGGTAGCGCTCCTGTGGAGTTTTCTAAAATAGCAGAAATGGATATTCAAAGCTGCACACTGACAGCGAGACAGCAACTTAAGTAACCCATCAAAGTGTTGTGTCCGCTGAACCGAGATCAGCTGTGCCGCTTCTATCATCGCTCACAGCAGAGGAAAAGAGACAGGGAGAAAGGGATGAGGAGGACAGAGGGAGAGAGACATGCTAGACGGAGTGTGAAACTAGGAGGCACCGATGCGCCCGCTGACCACCGAGAGAACGACAGGAGGAGAGAGAGCAGAATGAACAATGATGAAGAGAGAAGACTGGAGAGAAAGAGAAAGGGATGACAGATGCAAACAAGCTTCGCCTCAAATATGCACCACAGGGCGTCTGAAGGGACAAAGCGTCTGTGATCCGTTTTGCACTCTAGACATCGCTCCAAAACATGTTTGTTGTGTGAAAGTCTAATGATGGAGCTCATTCTAGACTATAAAAAGAGATCTGTTGACTTTGTTTTAAAAAATAAGTGTGTAAAATTAGCAGAATTATTCAAATTAAGTTTACTAAACAGCTTCAAGTTAAAACAGGTTTATTTTATTTTTGAGTAAAGTCAACTTGCTGCCTTTTAGGGCAACGGGTTTACTCACTTGGTAACACTTTACAATAAGGTTCATTAGTTAATGCATTTACTAACATGAACTAATCATGAACAACACATGTACAGCCTTTATTAATCATAATTGAACATTTACTAATGCATTATTAGCATAAAAGTCCATGCTTGTTAACATTAGTTAATGCACCGTGAGTTAACATGAACTAACCATTAACTAGTGTATTTTCATTAACTAATGTTAACTAACATGAACAAATACCATAGTAAATGTATTGTTCATTGTTTGTTCATGTTAGTAAATGCATTAATTAACATTAACTAATGAACCTTATTGTAAAGTGTGACCACTCACTTTAAGTAACTCATCATTTTTACAGTGTACACTACTTGACAAAAGTCTTGTCGTCAATCCCAGTTGTAAGAGCAACAAATAATAACTTGCCTTCTAGTTGATCATATGAAAAAGTGGCAGAAGGTCGATTTTTCAGATGAATAATGTGTTGAACTCCATCACAAATACTGCAGAAGACCTATTGGAACCAGCATGGAGCCAAGATTCTCACAGAAATCAGTCAAGTTTAGTGAAGGAAAACTCATGGTTTGGGGTTACATTTGGTATGGGGTGTGCGAGAGATCTGCAACATCAACAGTCTGAGGTATCATAACATTTGTGCTGCCTGTTACATTACAAACCACAGGAGAGGGCAAATTCTTCAGCAGGATAGCGCTGCTCCTCATACTTTAACCTCCACATGAAAGTTCCTGAAAGCAAAGAAGGTCAAGGTGCTCCAGGATTGGCCAGCCCAGTCACCAGACTAAACATTATTGAGCATGTCTGGGGTAAGATGGAGGAGGCATTGAAGATGAATCCAAAGTATCTTGATGAACTCTGGGAGTGCTGCAAGCACGCTTTCTTTGCCATTCCAGATGACTTTATTAATAAGTGATTTGAGTCATTGCAGAGATGTATGGATGCAGTCCTCCAAACTCATGATGGAGTCAGACACAATATTCATTCTTTTTCCACTGCAGAATGACTTTGTATTCTATACTGCCCATTATTACTGTTAAGTGACAAGACCTTTATCTAAGCAAAGTCAGACCTTACTGAACTAATGAAATAATTAAAAATCAAGGCATGATCATATTTCATTTTGGTAAAATAAGCGTAATCTAGAGGCCTTTGCCTTTTAATATAAGCCACTTCTGATACCAAATGATCAACTAGAAGTCAAGTTATTATTTGCTGTTCCTAAAACTTGAAAAGGCGACAAGACTTGTGTTAGGTAGTGTAGACCATAACACTCACTGTAAAAAATGTAAATTAAAAATGCTGTTGAACTGTTGCATGTTGTCCCAACACAAATCGATTAATTTGACTTAATAGTTTTTACAAATTTAAGTTGACTGAACATAAAACAATTACCCGCTTTAAGAACTGTTTTTTTTCAACTAATTTTAAATAAGTAGTTTGTAATTATTTGAGTTATGAGCAATAACAGCCCTGATGACTTGAAATACACTCCAAGCTCAAAATGTATATACAGTAGTCAGAAAGTGAAATTCAACACATTTAAAGACCTTTTTAAGACTCTTTCCATATATTTTAAGATCTTATAACCACTTTATGTTTCAACCTGAAATACTGGCAAGATTATTTAAGATAATATTAAATTAAATATTAATTAAGATAATAATGAATGTTAATATTTAATTATTAATTATTAAGAAGCTAATCCAAAACTAAATCATTATTTACATAGTGAATAAAAACCTATGAAATCTATATAATACAGCAGGTTGGTGCCTATGGAACTGCATAAATTATGGGCAGTAAACAAAGCAGCATGATGTTAAATCTAGTTGGATATTATGGATTTCATAAACTACACAGCAACCTGATATTGGCAGATTTATTTCAGGCAAACTTTAGCATACAACTATACACTAAATAATCAAAAATGATATAACATTTATTACCTTGCAAACTAGTATGCAAGACTTTTTATATTTTTTATGGGCCTTTAATTTCTCAATTGATGCATCAACTTTTAATATTTTTTCAGACCCCGCGGACACCCTGCTAGTAATTTTTCTTTCCCAACACCAAAATGATATGCACGACTGATTCTGATTGCCTGTCAATATTGTTTCAATCGTTCATCAGCTAAAAATGACTTCCGATGACATTGTTTCTCAGTATGATTATCATTATCTCTGGGATGTTGACATATTTACTAACAATCAGAATGATTATAAAAACCTTACAACCATTTCACTCACCTTACTTGGTGCAAACAGAACCGAAAAAGCTCAAGCACTTAAAGCGGCAGGGATGTCGTTTGGCAATTTATTTTATTAGCATCCACACCGGCAGACTTTATTGAATCAACTGCCACAGATTCGAGAGTAATAGTCTAACAAACACCGGCGTCAGGCTGTGTCAAGCTCTTCATGTGAACGAGTGCAGGAGGACATCGCAGTGCAATGAATCTGATTCACAATCCCAAACAACACCGATCCATTTCAATTGAAACTGAAACCACAGGCCTTACTTAAAAGGATCGTTCGCTATAGCTACTATCACTTAATCAGCCTTTAATTGTTACAATCCTTCATGACCTTTTCTGGTGAAAACAAAAGGAAGATGTTTTGAAGAATGCTGGAAACCTGTGAACATTGACTTCTTTAGTATTTCCTACTATAGGAGTCAATGGTTACAGATTTTCAGCATTCTTCAAAACATCTTATTTTGTGTTGAACAGAATTAAGAAACACAAAGTATTCACGATATATTGTTTCAGCATCAATATTGTAATGTCTTACAGTCACATTACAGGACATAATTTTAGATAATAATAATTAAATAATAATAACATTTAATCATGAAATAAAATAAGAAAAACACAATAAATGAAAAAGGTAAAACATGATAAAAACAGCAGTCATTGAAAAACTAAATGAAATAAAATTATATTTTGCAAAAAAAATTTTTTTTCAGAATTCATTGAATTTTCATAATGACATCAGTCAAACAAGCTATATATATAATATTATAATTATTATATACAATATATATATATATATATATATATATATATATATATATATATATAATTTGTTTTAAATAAATATAAAATGTGTCTATCCTTCTTAATCTGCCAAAACATGGAGACTACACAAGCTTAACTGTATATTATCTTTAACATGAAGATTGGTCCCAATTCGTCCACATTTTTACTTCAAGTTGCATTAAATGTTTGTAAGTTCAGTGTCTGTTCAAACCATTATTTTACTTAAACATTTTCTTTATAAAATTTAATTTAATACAAGAGTTTAAAGGTAATGCGAGGTGTATAAACAAACTTTTCTTTTGAAACAGAGCAATTTAAATCATCTGATAAAATTGTGTGTGTGTATGTATATATAAATTCATACACATACATAAAAAGTCACAGGGGGAAAATGTATAAATAACATTTCATTTCATAAATAATGTTATTGATATTTTTTTTAAAAACTGACCGAGTTAATTTTGCTTGGATTTTTTGACACTGTGTGTGTGTGTATATACTGATGTGTTCTGAAAAAGGTTATATTTATACTTTACTATTATTGCATTTCAGTTTTTCAATGACTGCTGTTAATTTCATCTAGTTTTACTTTTCATTAATTGTTTTTCCTTTATTTTATTTCAGTTATCTAAAATAATGTCCTGTTATGCGACTATGCACACATTATGATGTACAGCAGATGCTGAAACAATACATTGTGCAGTCATATTTTGTTTCTTTATTCTGATCAGACACAAAATAAGATATTTTGAAGAAAGTACAATGGAAGTCAATAGTTACAGATTTCCAGGATTCTTATATGTAAGAAAAAAACAATTACTGCAATGTCAGATTTTTTCTTAATATCGTGCAGCAATGTCATGAAGGCTTGGAAACAGGGTGAGTTTTTGAAGGGTGAACTATCCCTTTAAAGCAGAATCACCTTGAAGTCAGAGAAGTCAAAAAGGCATAAGAGGCTTCTATATTTGACAGAACCTAAAAGAAACCTAAAAAAAGGTCTCCTCTACTGCTAAAACAACTGAGCAACGGGCTATTTCTCAGTGGGCAATAGTGATTTATACATAATGAGATGAAAACTGCTTTCGATTTGTTTGTTTTTACCAGGTATTGATGGATGCAGGGCAGCAGGACGACATCGGTCAGAGTGAAATACAGGCCCTCAGCAAACACATGCTCCAGCTCTGGCAGATCAGTGCTCTTGACTTTCCTGATGTCCGAGTGCTCTCTGCTGGATGGAGGACAAACTGCATCTGTAGAAAGCCTGGCCAGAGCAGCGCTGAGCTCAACATTTGGATGGGGTTCCTTTTCGGCATCTTTTACTTGAGAATCGCTCTTCTTCTGCTGTTGTAGCTTCTGCCGACGTATCTTGTCATCGTTGTGAACTTTGACAGGCTCCCCTAACCTCTTTTCCAAGTTTATAATTGCAGGAGGAAGTCGATTCGTCTCATCTTCAGGGTTTTGTAAATGTTTTTCTACTGCAGAGGGAATTTCCAGCTCACAAAGTCTGGTCCACTGACTAACCTGAGGAATACAATAGTTTAGCATAGTTGGTAAATGTAAAAAAAAAAAAAAAAAAAAAAAAAAAGTGATTCATGAAGTAACTGAGGGGTTGGATAAGCTTTTGTTTTTATTCAAGCCTTTAAACATTGAACCTTTTGATCAGTATTGAATTTTTTTATTTTTATTATTATTATTTACGTGTTGAGGTCTAATAAGTGAACAAGACAAACTTGTATTACTTTATTAAAGTGATAGTTCATCCAAAGCTGCACAAAATAAATAAATAAATAAAAATCATTATTTACTTTCCTTTGGCTTGTTCCAAACCTTTTAGACTTTCTTCTGTTTAATACAAAAGAAGATGTTTTGAAGAATGCTGAAAATCTGTAGCCATCAACTTCCATTGTAGGAAGAAAAATAGTAGGGAAGTCAATGGTTACAGGTTTTCAGCTTTCATTAAGATATCTTCTTCATAAAGGTTTGGAATAGGCATGGGATATTAACCGGATTTAAGGTTTAACACAGTTTGGAAAATTCAAGGTTTTAATACTGCAATGTTGTGTTATACCGATCTCAAGGTGTATGCAAGGTTTTTTTTATGTGTTTGTATGTGTTGTAAAGGAATCAGTGTTTTTGAGACTAAAGAAGAGGAAAGCAGAAATCAATGATTTATTTATTTAGCCTGACATGTTTACTGCTACAAAATATTATAAATGTTTCTTAAAATAAAATAAATTGGGTTTATTTGATTTTTTTTTGCTTGTTTGTTTGTTTGTTTTACCCAGACATTTAAAATAACTTATTTTAGAGCAGTAATGACAATACTGTGATACCGTGAAACCGTGGTATTTTTTTCCAAGGTGATCAAACTGTCAGAAACTTACACCGCCTAGTTTGGAACAAGTAAAAGTTGAGTAAATAATATATATAGCGAGTAGAGTTTTGGCTGAACTATCATTTGAAACTTTATTAGACTTTTGGCCAGTATTAAAAAGCTGAAATCTTTTTTTGTTTTGTCATTTACTTGCTGTTTTTTAGTGAATAATAAATAGCAGATATAACAAACCTATATTAGTTAATTAACAAACGGAAATTAAAACATACTAAAACAGATTAAATGTGTGCTATTATCAATTGTTGTCTTTTAAAATTAGTGATGGACAGTTAACATTAACTTTAAGGCAAGCAAAAATTCAATACAAAACAATACTGAAACTTGTATTTCACTGCTATATTTTATATATTTTTGTAGTAATGTAGGTTTAAGTCGTTATATTAGGAGCCTTTTTTATTTGTTGCAGTTTTTAAGTTGTACAAGTTCTTTTGACAGTTCTAACACTACAAGTTAAATTTATGGATATTTCATAGATTCCATCAATAACCACACAGCTCTGCAGTAAACTGTAGTCCATATTGGTTTATATTCATCTTCCTAATATCCGATTTTTTCATATCCGAATGTTTGCATATCTGAAGCTGTTGTTGCAGGCTGACTGACAAATGACAAAAGCTTCCTGAAAATGTTTTACTTTAGAAAAATGTACTTGCTTTAAAACCATAAATTTTAAAAGTGACTGAAAATGGTGTCTTGAGACATCACACCTGTCCCAAAAACAGCTCAAGGCTCTAAATTCAGCCAAAAAAAAAGAGAAAAAAAAAGAATCAGTGGTGCAACTCGAGCTTGTTTTTGCTCTGTTATGCCTTATAGCTACTATCTGAAAGCACAGAGCTCAATCATCAACATTTAAATATGCGACTGTCTGACACAGAACTCCAGAATTTAAGAGGCTGCACCTGTCAAAACATGTCAACGTGTTTGTCACCCTTTGGGTATGCGATTAGTTCACGCTTGTGGTGATGCGGCAGGACCTAAACCCTTTAACTGTCAATGTCTCACCTGCATGACATCTGCGTTTACATTATTTAAACAATAATATAGACTGGACAAAGCAACCATGACAAATTATATTTCATTTGAAAGCTTAAAAGTTATAATATTTTAATAGTAGTAAAAATAACAACAAAAAAACAAAAGTTTTGTCGCCTATCCAAGTTTTACAAACAACAAATAACAACTTGACTTCTAGTTCTCATTTGGTATCGAAAGTGGCTTATATGAAAGGCAAAGGCCTCTATAGATTATGCTTATTTGACCAAAATAAAATATGATCATGCCTTCATTTTTAATCATTTCATTAGGACAGTAAGGTCTGACTTTGCTTAGACCAGGAGTGTTAAACAGACGGCAAACTAATTTAATGCGCCCCATGAGATTATTCTGTGAGCTGCAATTTTTCAATAAAATAAACTGCTGTTCCAAATGTGTCCACTGGATGGCAAACTGTTAATCTTATCCGATCCAGAAGCCTGAATCAGCGTCAGTTTGACAGCCATCTCAGAGCGAAAGACCTCTTAAACCCTGTCATACCACACCAGTGCTTCCCACAAATAGACTTTACTTGGGCCGGCAGCCCAGGTATATTTGGTGATGACTACGCCCGACCCGGAATCTGCGCGCGCAGAATTCCGCAGATTTTTAGCCCATCATTATTTCTGTTTTATTTACTTAAGTAAATGTGTGTTAATCTATATTTATTCAGTTTTTTTTTTTTTTAATATAAATTTCAGTAATATTATTGACTATTGTGAAAATGTTCATCTGATTTATGTACAATGCAGATTGTAAAGAAATATTTTCTGTCTTTTACTGGAGATATTAAATGACAAACTTGCTTTATTTACCAAATCAAGTGAGTCTAATTGGATTTGCATTTTAAACATTAAATAAAAGTAAAAAAAGATATTATTTTTTATTTCATATATTAAGGTTTAAGTTATGATACTCCCAAAATAATTCCGCAGAAATCCGCACATTTTTAACAAAATTTCCAGCAGAAATAGCAAAAACCGTCCGCAGACTCCATCTGGCCCTAGGGATGACGCATGAATGATACTATTATTATATTCCTTTCACACTTTTTTTTGTATCCGTCCAAGAAAACTAAACATTAGCAATCGATAAACCAGTGAAAAATCTTCTCTCCCTCTGTACGTTTCCTACTGGTTCTGTGTGTTTGTGAGCTGTCACTCACACAGAAACTCTCACGTGCTCTGCAGACCCACAGAGACACGCCTTTTCCGCCAAAATGCATCCGACCGTAGTTTCTGAATCTCCTAAAATGTCCAGGATTAAGGTTTTACTTTCGCTTTCTAAAGTTGCCGTTATTTGTATGCGTTTTTGCATTACCATTTTGCAGCCGCGAGAGAAACATTAAATGATTAATCATTTAATAAACGACTCAGAATATTTAATATATAAAATATTTCTACACTATTAGAAATGGCTAATCAACTAATTTGCTTTATTTTAAAAAATCTACACTTTTCATTCTAGTACATAATTGTTAGCAATATTGTCTATTTTTATTCATTTTTTATTTTTATTTTATATTTATTTCTTATTTGCTGTATATTTTATTAATTTTATGATGTTAATATATTATATGGTTCATACATTTCTAAAATGCTTTGACAATACTGTAAATGTCATTCCAATATAGCAACTTGAGAGAGAGAGAGAGAGAGAGAGAGAGAGAGAGAGAAAGTTGTTATTTAAAAGTTGTTATTATTATTATTATAAAGTTATTGTTTGTTGCTCTTACAACTGGGATCAATGACAAGACTTTTGTCAGGTAGTGTATATATAATAGTGTACATATAATATACAATAATTATATTATTATCATAACATAATAATAATAATAATAATAATAATAATAATAATAATAATAATAATAATAATAAGAGCAAAAGTCATTTGTTAATTTGCAACAATTTCAGACCATTACTATGACAATAATTTTTAAGTATATTGTTGTTTATTATTTACATTATTATCATTATTAATGTTATTAAAATATATTATTAACAAGCTTTTTATATAAAATCTACGCACTTTCCAAAACCTTAAAACACTATATTAACAAATTCAAGCATTTTCTAAGCATTTCCAGCACCTGTACAAACACTACAGTTAATGGGTTAAACAAGGCCCTCTCACCTCAGCACAAGCCTTGAGGCAGGTGTTTTTAAAGCCCAAAAGTGACGCCACGTCCCTGCGGTCGGGCATCAACTGGCATGCTCTCTGAATGATGTGTCTGAGCACGACAGCAAGGCCGGCTCGGCAAAAGCCGACATCAGACTCCAGAGCGGCCGGCAGACGACACATCTTAACCAGGCCTGGCAGCTCGTCCCTCCTCAGTGCAGAAACAGAGAGACCGGCGGGCACCAGAGCTGACGGGGACTGCAGGACGTCTGCTTGATCTGTGACCAGGCAGACGTGAAAAGATGAGCATTCGCTGTAGGACAGGAGGAAGAGGACGATGGAGGAGTGCAGGGGGAGGGAAACAGCTCCGTTTGCTCCGCACACCTCCAGATAGAGGCTCTCCTTGTGCGTTTCAGGATCGGTTTGCTTCATTTTGACAGCCTAGATGAGGGCAGAACACATGAAGAGCTTAAAATCTGTAATAGAAATGAAGAGAAAAGGTCAACCTGACTGTGAACATTGTTGTATTTTGATCGTCACTGGCTGTTAATAATATTTATTATTTGGATTTCACAATGCTTTTACGAAATTATATTAAGAAGAATGTGTGACCATATAAAAACTAGCATAACCTCAATATTTTAGAAAGGGTAAAGGTTTTATATTTGCACATTCTTTCAGTGACACGCTCCCTATATTGTTTACAATTGTACTTTGAATATTGGGTCTGAAATCACATGCAAGTATTACTTCAAAACGTTGTTAGCACTGTTTATTTGACTGTGCACAATGTTGTTCTTTGACAGCCATTGGCAGCTTATATGATTTTATTCTTTAGAATTTGCAAATACTTTTTCTGAAATTGTATGAATATTAAAGAGAAAGTCTGAATGTGCGAAAATAAAACCAACTTTAGCTAAATAATGAAAGCACAATGTCACAGTTACCCACCAACCCGCCAAATACGGGTAGATTTCAGCTATGCGGGTTACACAATCACTCCCACTAGCCACTTTGGCTAGCTGAAGATCATTTTAAATTGTCGTTTTCTTAAAAAGCAGAGTTCAACAGTAATATTGGCCTAATGTGAGGGGCCAGCATGGGAGATGACGATAACTGTGTTTGAATGAGCATAAGAAAGCAGGTAAATACCAAATGAAGAGCATGCACACTGTGAGACAAAGGCCATCCTGATGCACTGATGAGGGCTTCAGTGTCGAGGCCAGGGGTGGCTGCCATCTGGCAGACTGGGCAGTTGGCCACTGGGCCAACGTACTTTTTAGCTCTGGCTGATCGGCCTATAAAATGATTAGCATCCTATTGTTTTTTCTGCCTAATTAATTGACGATGCTGAGATCAGTGACGCTCTCAGGGAAGGTGCGTCCATAGAGGCGACCTAGGTGGCTCTAGGGTGGCAGAATAGTGAGGGTGGCGTGTTGTTTCAGCTCAATTTAAATAAGTAGTTTGAACAAGTAAAAATATACATATTTTTTGAGTGTATTAACCTATCCATCTATACAAATACACTTTGTATTTGTACTTTTTATCTGCACTAAGTCCCGCAGCAACTTCCTCCCAAGCTGTTTCCTTAACCTGAAAGTGTTTATTTCACAAGATCCTAAAGACCTGTATGCTTCTCACGCTCTATGAGGAGTGTTATTCATGTCTTTCAGGTGTCTTCTTGTCAGAAAACAATCACCTGTGCTGTCATTTCATGTCACTTTGTTTTTGATTGTCAGCATGTAGGCCTATAGTTAGAATTCTTTATACAATATAGCTACAATGATATTTATAAATGGTCAAACTAGTGTGCAACTTTAGCAAAACGAACACTGAAATTGTTTCAAATAGTTTTGTAGTTTGAGCTCAACTAAATTTGTTGCATTTTTTTAATTGTTTAAGTTTATTTGATTGACTATGTAAAATCTTTAAGCTGAGTTTTGATGTTTCACTGTTGAGTTAAACATTAGTTAAGGGTTTCTGACACATTGCTTTTATTATTTATCTTTATTTTGTTAATTAGCATTAACTGTGTGTGTTAGCAGGCAGTTGTTGTTATGTTCATTATTTAATAAAGCCTCTCTCAAAACACACAAGCACACATAAGATGGACTTCCCGTGTGGATTAATGCATGAGACGATAACTATTTTCAAGGTATACCGCAGTTTGGAAGAGTCAAGGTTTTAATACCACCAATCTTTCCTGTAATACCATTCCTATGGCATATGTAAGATTATTTATTTACTTTTTTTTGTTGTTGTTGTTTAGGACAACAGTATCTCCAGCAGAAAAAAAATCCAAAGAGATGCCGTTTTAGATTGTAAAGAAATCAGTGTTTTTGAAACAAATAAAGACATCAATAATTTAGGCACATTCAAATCAAGACTGAAAACACATCTGTTTAGCTGTGCCTTTACTGAATGAGCACTGTGTTGCGTCCGACAGATTGCACTATCATGTTTTTCTCTTCTTCTTCATTCTTTTATATCACATTTTACCTGTTTTTATGTTTTGTTTTGTTTTTATGCATTTTTATTATTTGTTTTTATTTTTATTTTACTTGTTTCTTTTATTCTTGTTTATGTAAAGCACTTTGAATTGCCATTGTGTATGAAATGTGCTATATAAATAAACTTGCCTTGCCTTGCCTTGCCTAATTCATTTGAATTATATAACGTGTTTACTGCTCTAAAATAATATAAACCTTAAAAAATAGAATATTTTGTTTTCAAAGGAGAAAAAAGTTTAGTTTTTTTAGCCAAACATTTTAAAAGCTTATATTTTAGAGCAGTAACCACAATACTGTGATACCGTGAAACTGTTATAGTTTTGTCCAGGGTTATCATACCATCACAATCTTATACCGGCCCATGCCTATGTGGATTATAATTTTATCATAATAATAATAATACATTAAAAAAATGTAAGTTTTCAATTTGTCAACTCTCATTATTTTCTATACATGGCTTTTGTGGGTTTACAGAACAGGAGTTGATAAACATATTCAAGGGCACGGACAGATGGGGAGCATTTTGATGTAGTGGGCTGCTCTGGCCCAAAATGCTAGGGACAACTTTTTGTTCCAGTCCAGCCCTGGTCCAGACTGATTTCAACAGATGTGATCCGCACGAGTGTTTAAAAGCTTCAAAAAGGAACGGTGCCCTGTGCAAAGCATCCATGTCTGGAAACATAACTGGTGCGATTGGTTCTCTTTGAAATAGACTGAACAAAAACGACACTCGTGCACCCACAGTCTTGCTGCTTTTAAGAGCTCCAGATTTTTTTTAAAGGTCTTTTTCCAAGCAGCAGGTTTATTTCGCTTTAGCCTTTCGCGTGATCATCCTTTTATTATTGCACACAGCATGTTTTTCACCTGCTTTCTTTTGCTTAGTTATTTTGGGCTAAGAAATGTTTATTTATTTATTTATTTATTTTTGGTGTGGCTAGAGAATTTCTTTTTGAGATTTTTGTAAATCCTTGATGTTGAGCCCTGAAAAATCATGTGAAATAAAAAACGAATTGCAATGCAACACTACGAAACCATAACCGATTTGCTTATGCTCATTAAGCAAGCTCATACACAACACAAAAACGTTCAATGAATGAGGCATGTGGAAAAACACAAAACTTAAATCAAGTAATTTTAGCATGCCAAAGTCAATTTTATGCATATGAAATATTTTTTCCCAACAACACAATTGCAGCTAGTGAAAATGGTGAGTGGCTATGTTAGAAAACTACTAGCCACAGTGACTGGTGGTCAATAAAGTTAATGTCAAGCCCTGGTTATGAGCAATGTAAAGTAAAGATAAAGTGTTTAATGTTGCACAGAACTTGGATTTAAATACAATGGCAAATAAAGTTAGGGAAGATTAAAAAATTATCTACAAACCCAATTATGCAGCATCATTTAATATTAAGTATAATGAATAACTAGACATATAAGTTAGTGGTTGACTGAGTATTTTGAATGCTTTGTTTGTTATAAAATCAAGTGTTTATCTGCAAAACCTCATTGTACATTCTTTATAACGTTAATAAAATGCACATTTAGTGGTCAAATGTGAGTCTTTTAAATGTTTGGTCTGTTGATATGTTTTAGTGAACGATATGTGTTCATCATCACAAAAAAACTGCTTCATTAATTTAGTTTTTAGTAAATTATGTTACGTTATTAAGGGGAATGTCTGAATAATAAAACCAACATCGTTTAACTAAAAATGTCAAATACTTACGCTTGAACACTAGAATACATCCATGTGCAGTTATTTAATATTGAGGTAAAGTCGTGTACTGAAATACAACAGTGCCAATTTTGTATTTAGTAAAACCAATAACGGTACATAGATGTCAACAGATGTCAGCAGTGACAGATGTCAACGGCACACATATGCCAAACGTGAGTTTAGTAGCATATTATTACGTTACGTGAGGTAACTCTCTGCCCGGGATTCCCATGCCGTCACGACATTACAAAAGGAAACAACCAACTAAAGTAACAAAGGAGGAAATAAGCAGTAAATAACGTGCATTGCATGTACTCACTGTTTGAATTGAGCAAAATATCCACTGGGAAGCAGCACATGTGCAACTTGTGTTGGTCTCACATTAAAAACAGTCCGAGTATAAACGGATATTCGCGTTGGAGTTCCACCATAGCTCTTTATTGTGTCTCGTGAAGTTTACAGCCAAACTAAATTAGCAAATAACACGTATAACAAGTTTACAATCGTTTGTTTGATATATAATAAGAAGTGTATCTATGAGTGTGCGATATTTGTCGCTTAGTGTAATAATCTCACACGCACAAATCACTGAACTGAACATGTACTTGCTGCCACCTATTGGTGTCGTATATTTTAAACAGGCCTGTAGACAGCCAGGTGAATCAGATGCTGCAGCATGCTTCTTTTCTTAAAAGGTAGTCCGTTTGCAATTATTCGTCTCATTTTCTATTAAATTATGAGGTTTTAATAGGTACATTTTAGTATTAGCTTGATTAGCATCAAACTTCTAACCACATTTTTTGATACCAAAAACATTTCTTAAAGATTTACATCAGTTTTCATTTACATCATGCATCATCACATCATATATCATTAGAAAAAAAATAGGAATCTGTTAGAGTTTTAAATTAAAATATAGTCATTTAAATATCATTCATTTAAAACGGACTGGTCCGACGATCATCTTTTCCTTTGTGTTAAAACCTTTGATGCATTTTCGCAATGTATGATGGGATTTAGCAGCCAAAAAAGGACAAATGAGCTCATGTATGGGACAAATTCTGAACCACTCGAATCCCCCAGTTAACAAATTAGGGAAAGCCATATGGGAAACTTTTTTTCAGTGATTTTAAAAACGTTTCACAATTTGAATGAACTGTGAACTATGAAATAAGTGAAATGCTTTAATGATTTACAGCTATTTTTGTAGCATAATTATAAAATGATATAAAACACTACAGAACACCTGTTATTCAGTTTGTTACCAGCTCTCTCGGGCTTCTGTCAGCTAACTACATTTCCAACGTAATTTGCCGCCATTTTCCCTATTTGTATTCATTTTGCGTAAATGTCGGCCTCGATCCTTTCCTCAAAAACCGTAGGCTATTACCACATACTGTTTTTTAATTAGACAAATCTTACAAAATGCTTAAATTTAAGCACTCTATATACAGCATTTCTCTTTATAATGGGGAAAAAAACGTGTGAATGGGAAGATCCAGCTTCGAGCGCATTATATGTTTTCTGTGAGAGGACACGATGCCCACTTAAACTAAACAAGTTAATCCTTCTTCAAAATGTTGTTTGAATTGTTCTCCTGAAAGTTTATCTGGTTTATATCAAGCTATAGCTCTGCGTGAACACAGTCTGTGTCAGGTCTAAAAATATTGTTTACTATGTAGGCTAATGTAAAAATACACTGTAAAACGTTTCGCATTGGTTAAACTCAAGTTCATCAGCTGCCTTGAAAATGTGAGTCAACTCACATATTTCACAATATACTAAAACTCAACATCTTAAGTTGAAACAAAGTGTCAAGGCAGCTTGTGAACTTGAGTTTGTAAGTGTAACCAATGTGAAACATTTTACAGTGTAGTAGTAAGGTTAAAGCATGTTAAGTCAGTATGTTTACTACTAACTGTAGAGAATATCTAGTTATAATACTAAATTTTGTGCACTTTGATTATATTCCTAAATATGTTTACTTCTTTTTATTTGCTTAAAGCTGAGAGTTCATAGTGTAATTGAGATAAGAAATTTGGAAACATGTTGGATAATACAAATGTCTAAAATGTAACCGACTCAAATTCAGTTTTTTACATTGCAACCATTTTCTTTCCTATCCAGCTATCAGTTCACTTGGGAGAAGCACCATGGCGGTTTAAATCCAGCCAAGGAGGCATCCCATAAAATCTTCAAAGGGTGTGTATATAGTACATAATTTACAGCTGAAGTTAATTGTATGTTGCACACTAACACACACACACACACACCCAGCATGTTTGTTGGACCTACTATATCAGTGAGCAAATTTTGTCGAGCTGCTAAAGTCCAACCCTAAACATAGATTGTTTGATATCAGTACACAAAGTTTTGGCTCATTTAAACACCTTTCAAATTATGGAGGGGACAAACCACTTTAAATGGTGGAGAGGAAAATAACACTTTAAATAGTCTCACTGTTCGTGTTTGACAAATATTCTCTAAACGCTATGCTTAAAAAAATCTAATAAATCAAACAAATAGCTCATAGCTCAAATAAAAGTAGCTCACCTAGAAAATGAAATTTCAATCTTTAAAAATGTCTATAAGTCTTAAACACCAGAAGTTTAACCATGTGAATACATGTCCTGAGCTACAGACTATTTCAGTTATAATGCACATTCAACATTCAGTTAAATAAAAGAGATTTGTAATCAGTTGTATAAAGCTGATATTGAAATATCAGTTCACAGATATAAATATTTGTCTCAGGATTATGGTCATTTGGTATTACACATTTATTTTTAACCAAGATTAAACCAAACTTTAACTTTTTGGGATTTTTCATACTTTACAGAAAATTGTTTTGATATAATCCAGACTTTACTAAAACTGCAATAACAATATTACTTAAGAAAACAAAAGCAGAAAATATCAAATAAATACAGTTGAGTTCAGATGCAAAAACCTTTAAGTGCCATCTGAAAATTTTCTCAGCCTTCTTTGTTTATGTTAAGATATTTTACTTTAAAGACCAGGAAAATTACTTATTCTTTGCCATATAAGTGATATTACTGAACATACACCAGTAGCCTGATAAAAAAAAAAAAAAAAAAAAAATTTTAGAGGAAAATTTTCAACGACAATTAGAGGTTTTTGCATCTAAACTCTTCAGTTTTACTTGTTTGTACAGCATTGTTCATTTATATATAATGATTTCTACATGTACTTGTGTTTTATTGCAGACAATACAACAAACATTTAATGTGTACCTCATGATTTTTTTTTTTCTTCTTCACAATAAACACGTATTACACATTTTTAAAAAGTCATTCATCAATATGATCACCTGGACTCTGCACTACTTTGGCAAACCTTTACATCCACAAATGTCAGTTAAAACTGTACCGTGCCAAAAGGAAGCCCTATGTTAACAGTGTCCAGAAGTGCAGTTGACTTCTATGGGCTCAAGAGGCATCTGAAATGGACCATAACATACTGGAAACATGTAGTCAGATGAATCATTAATTCAGGTATTTTTTGGGAGAAACGGACACCATGTGCTTCGGAGCAAAGAAGAAAAGTATCATCCAGACTGTTACCAGCAACAAGTCCAAAGCCAGGGTCTGTCATGGAATGTGGTTGTGTTAGTGCCCTTGGAAAAGTTAACTTGCACTTCTGTGACGCACCATTAATGCTGAAAAAGTACATAGAGATTTTGAAGCACAATATGCTGCTTTTTTTTCCAAGGACACCCATGCATATTTCAACAAGACGATGCAAAACCAAACTCTGCACACATTATGTGGAGGAAGAGGAGGTACTTGACTGGCCTGCCTGCAGTCCCGACCTGTCTCCGATGAATGTGTGGTGCATTTTGAAGCGCAAAATGCCACAACAAAGACCTTATACTGTTGCCCACCCACCTTAAGACTTGTTTGCAGGAAGAATAGGACAAAAAACTTAATCACTGAAAAACTTCATCACTTGGTGTTTTTATTCCCTAAACGTCTTTTAGGAGTTGTGAAAAGGATTAGCAACATTACAAAGGGGTAAACCCTTTACTGTTACAACTGTTTTTAAGATGTTGCAGAAACTAAAATTGTTACATGTTTATTTAAAAAAAAAACAATAAAAAATAATGAGGAACAAATTAAATAATGTTTGTTGTATAGTCTGCAATAAAATACAAGTCAAAATAAATTTAGAAATCTCTACTTTTCTTTTTTTTGCATTTTCCACACTGTCCCAACTTATATATATGTTTATTTACAATTAAAAAAAAAGTAAAGTAGCAACTGCATTAAAACATTCCTAACTTATTCCAGGAAGGGTAGTATACAAATATGCATTTACATAGCACATGCTTTCATGCAAACAGAACACACAAGTGCCGCGATACAAAACAAGACATTCAAATTCAAAAAGTAAGCAAGTTCAAGAACACAGTGTGCCTGAAAGCGATCATGCAATGAACTAAGCGCACAGTGAAAAGCCTTTCCCTCTCATCTCTGTAAGTATGAGGCGGGGTCTCTTGCTTTTTTCCCATCCTTCCCTTTGATGCTGATTTTAACCTCGGCAAGAGCTTAAAGGAGGGGTTGAAACGCTCAACAGGCCTCGCAAGCATATCATTACCAATTTGCTTGCGATTGAGCACCGCTGCTCCCTGCGAGTAAAATACAGCCTTGGTCTGGAGGCAGGAGTCGGTGCTGGAAATAGCACGCGCAGGCAGGGCAGGGGACACACGGAGCCAAGCCATCCATTTACTGTCTCTGCGAGCATGTGGAAGAGATTTTCCCCTGCCAGGTCTCCACCACAAGCATCACCATTAGAGCGCTAGGGTGGAGACTGGGAAAACATGCCCCTCTGAATGTGGAGGGATGAAGGCAAGTTTGAGAAAGACTGTCAGAGGAGGAGTGAGGGACTGAAAGCTCTCAGTTCGGGACACAACAGGCAAGTAATTTTGTATGCAAGAAAACATTTCGGAAATTCTCTCTTTGCATTTTTAATGTTGCAGGATGAAATTTATTAGAGATGATTGCTGTTTTTTGTTCTCTACTTGAACAAATGTGATGTAGAATCGAACAGGATTTGTAATAAGAACTCGTTTCCAATGCAATTACATTTCAGCCTAAATTGATTTGGAGGAAATCGATGCCTTTCGCATGATCCATCATTCTTTTTTCCGCGTCTGTCCTGAAGCTCTGTTTATTGTTTGTAAATATTGCATGTCGCCGTAATGAGGGTTATTGAGATGCACTTTAGGTGTGATGGAGGAGAAACGCTCTCAGACCAGAAAAGCTTTTAGAGAAGTCGTTCCTGAAAAGCTTTTTTTTTTCTTGGTTGAGAAGTCTGGACTCTGGAGCTGAACATGGATACTTTTCTGCTGTGTGGCTTTTCTCTAGATGGCACTTCTGTCAGACGTTTCGGCTTTTAAATGATATGCTTTGCTTTATTTGATTGTACATGTAACATAGGCTCTGGGGATGTTTTATATGAGGGTTAAAATTCTGGAGAAAAAAATGTAGGTGCAGGTTTGCCCGCTGAATTAGATTTTCTATTAGTTTTACCTTAGTTAAAGGACAGATTTTACAATCCTGCCTTAAATTTGACAAATTGCGTCATTCAGTCAGAATATTTAAGATTTTATTTACAGGGTAGTGCTGTGGTATATCAGTCTATGACAATAATCGAGTTATTCAAAAACTCCAGGTAATCACTAAATTAGAAGATGCTAAATGAATCTCTTATTTACATGGATTCAGCAGCACCTGGCTGTTTTTGCTTTAAAATTTGGCTAATCTAAATGCATCTGAATGGCTACTGCTTTTAGCATACAAGCTTAACAACAACACAAATTGCAAATACAGATGAAGTCTAAATTATTAGCCCCCTTTTGATTTTTTGTTTCTTTTTTAAATCTTTCCGAAATGATGTTTAACAGAGCAAGGAATTTTTCACAGTATGTCTGATAATATTTTTTTTCTTCTGGAGAAAGTCTGATTTGCTTTGTTTGGGCTAGAATAAAAGCAGTTTTTAATTTAAAGAAAAACATTTTACGGTCATAATTATTAACCCCTTTAAGCTATTTTTTTTCAATAGTCTAAAGAACAAGCCATCGTTATACAATAACTTGCCTAATTTAACCTGCCTAGTTAACCTAATTAACCTAGCTAAGCTTTTAAGTGTCACTTTAAGCTGTATAGAAGTGTCTTGAAAAATATCTAGACAAATATTATTTACTGTCATCATGGCAAAGATAAAATAAATCAGTTATTAGAAATGAGTTATTAAAACTATTATGTTTGGAAATGTTTTAAAAAAATCTTCTCTTTGTGAAACTGAAATTATGGGAAAAAATAAACAGGGGGGCTAATAATTCAGGGAGGGTAATAATTCTGATTTCAACTGTATATATCATGGTACTATGTTACTGTGTTACTTGAACTTAATAAGAATGTTTTAACCTTCTTTTCTTACATTACACACATTTCTTAATATTATACACACAATTCAACTTGTTTAGACTCAACTTAAAGGCAGCAACTATTTTTACCTCATACTTTAATCAATGCAGCTGTAATAGCTTTGATTTTTTTCCTTATTTTGAAATTGAATGTTCATTTTAATGTCATTTTTGTCCATTTCAGTCCTCGTTTAATTTTAATATATTTTAAAGTGGATTAATTTCTGTGATGCAAAGCTATATTTTCAGCATCCCTCCAAAATAATTCTAATAAGCTGACTTGCTGTGCAAGAAATATTCATTAACATTAATGCTTAAAGTGCTGCTTAATACTTATTTGAATACCATGATACATTTTTTATATATCTTAGATGAATTTAAAGTCCAAGTTACAGCATTTATTTGAAAACAAACCTTTTGTTATAAAACAGTAATGTACTTTCAGGAATCTTCAAAAACAGCCTCATCAGTTATTAATGTACAAGCAGCATGATGCAACACTTTAAATGGTCATACGTGTCTAAAATGTACTGCTCGCTCATTTAATGTACTCCTGTGCTCTTTTTTTAAGCCACATCCTTTAGGAGCTGAATCTGCAGGCCTGTCATTATCACCGCCGAGGAGACTGACTGACGGTGCCTAACAGGAGGATTTTGGCAGCAGTCAGTCATTAGTGGGAATCTGCGGGAACTCATGGCATCGTCAGACCACCAAGGAAACAAGGAGCCCACAAACACTTCCCGAACAGATGGAGCTCCATCCACGGGTGCAACCTGCCCCGTCCACTCAGCCGAAGACGCAAAGCGAAACGGCTTAAGAAAAGGCCTGGTCCGACATCGAGACTACGTCAAAATCTCTGTTCCAGAAGGAAAGGGCAACCGATTGCCATCGGAATGGTGGAAGACGTTCATCGCCTTGTTTTATGCAGCTTTAAACCTGGTTTTGACTACGGTTATGATCACGGTGGTTCATGAGAGAGTACCACCCAAGGAGGAAAGCCCACCCCTGCCGGATAAGTTTTTTGACTATATAGACCGCGTGCAGTGGGCGTTTACTGTGACTGAGGTCAACGGCATGGTTCTGGTGTCTATATGGGGCATTCAGTTGCTCTTTCACAGATACAAGTAAGAACATTATCCTGATGATGACACTGTAACCTATTGGTCAGCTCTGCTAGACATTTAATGTTCATGGTGTAGAGCAAGATGAATGTAATAGTCTTGAGGGCTCCTCAGGGAATTAATATTATGTTGAGAAAATCAATTACACAGATATCACCATTTACCAAGCATCAAGCAATATGTGGCTCGCCGTTTTTATGTGGTCAATAGTTAGACTTTCAGAAGAAAGATTCAGATTTTAGGAAGGGAGGTGTAAATGATGTTTGTTTCTTTTATTTTTATATGAGGTCTACATGAAAAAAATAGTAGTGATAGTAATGGTATTTTTCCATTCATTTTCCCCTCCAAAAAATGAAAAAGGAAACAAACCAAGCCTCTATGTGGAGAATCTCATTACAATCTCTGAATAGAAGCAAAGAAAGTAGATAAAATTGGACAAAAATACAAAAGGAGCAACACTGAAGAAGTAGTTCAGTCTACGGCGAAGATTATCCCATAATTCACTCACCTCAAGCCATTCTGTGTGAACCGCCAACCTGATTTCACCATGTTCCTAAGACATCTATGTTGATCCTGGAACAACATCACAATCAGCCAATCAGACTTAAGGGATATGTTCACAGTTATGTTGTTTAGGCTGACCTTTATGTTTACACACTTCTACATGATTGTTATCAACTATTATTCCCCGCCGATTTTGGGAATAATTTACAGTTATAGTTGGGTTTAGGGTAGGAAATAGGTATGGATGAACAAAAATGATGTTCCAGGATCAACATAGATGTTAATCCAGGATCACATTGTACTTGGTGTGTGTATACTGTGTGTACTGTATATATTAATGTAATATACAGAGTTATATTAAATATTACTCTTCCCCTTCAATTTTTTTCTTTGGTAAACCATTCATTTAATGATGAAAATAATCATTTGAAGTTGTTGGTTCTATCTTTAGAAACAATATATTTCAGCTTTAATTGTAAAATATTGACATATATACAAATTTTGAGGGATTTTGAGATAGAGAGGCACTGCTTTTTTATGGGTTTAATTGCTGTGTTAAAGTACATATATATGGTTTATAAGGACTTTATCATATATCTAAGGAAATCTATCGTCACAATGTACGGTTGAAGTCAGAATTATTAGACCCCATTTGATTTTTGATTTTTTTTTTTTTTGTTGTTGTTGTGAATATTTCCCAAATGATGTTTACCTGAGCAAGGACATTTTCACAGTATACCTTATTATATTTTTTCTTCTGGAGAAAGTCTTATTTGTTTTATTTTGGCTAGAATAAAAGCAGTTTTTTATTTTTTTTAAAGCCATTTTGAGGTCAAAATTATTAGCCCATTTAAGCAGTTTTTTTTCTCGACTCTCTACAGAAGGGTCCTCAAACTTTTCAGCCTGCAACCCACAAAATAACAATGCCAGTGACTCGTGACCCCCAATATCTTCTGTGGTGGTTATAAATACAGAAACCTTGCATGCAATGGTGTGCACAAACACCAATTGACCAAAGTTTAATCTTCGTAGATATTTTTTTTACGTATATCAGTGCTGTAAATGTGCCAGAAAGTTATTTCTGGTTTATTTATAGTTTAACCTGGTGTTATAAAATCAATCTGCTGCATTTGGCGCTATTGCTGTGTCTTTAATATAATGTAATTACCCCAGGGGGTCACAATCCAATAGAACTAGTAACTATAAGCTACTATAGTAAATATATACAGTAGTAAACTATAAATGACTATTTTTTCTTTTCAGTACTCTGTAAAATAGTTGGGATAAAATACCCCAATATAACCCAACTATAGGTTATTATAGCACCTTCTATAACTGGGTTATTTTATCCCAATGCATTGGGTTATATTATTTAACCCAATGCATTGGGTTATTTTAATTAAACGCTATATTTTTACATTCTGGTATTACTACTGCTACTATTAGTAGTACTAATATTAATTTTACAATTATGACTGTGTAAATAATACACACAGTATTCAAAAATATTGAAAATGATTTTTTCCATTACATTTTAGTTCCAGACACTTTTGTTAAAATCAATTAAGAATCACAAACAATGACGAAACAGAACAGAGTACAGACAGTTTTAAACTGTGCAAGCAGATAAATCACGTGTTGATGGAGCAAAATATGGAGCTCTGTGTGCTGTAGAGACTGTCCAAATGTGTGTTAACAATATGTGTTAACAATGTGCAACACATCCAAACGCTTCTAAAAGATGGTCTTGGATGGTAAATCAGATATAAAAATATGACACAGAGAGGTAATTTGATAAAAAAAATAACAATATTATTGAGTTATAGCTTGACTAAACTTTATACCGCAAAAACAACATTACGCACGCATATTAATACAGCTGTTTTGTTTTAGTTAAATCAGTTGATTGTTGAAATTCAAACTTTTAAACCAACTGGTTGAATTATTAAATAAATAACCCATATAAAGGTTAAAAATACCCCAACAAAGCACCAACTATTAACTCAACTAGTTGAGTTATTAATAAATAATCTAATAAAGGTAAAAAAATAACCCAACAAAGAACTAAATATGTTTAACTCAACGTTTTTAGAGTGAGGTAATGGATAAAATATGGTAATTCTTATGGTTTAATAAAAATAAATAGATTTTTGCAAATCACCAGGCGGGTTAATCATTCAGGGGGGCTAATAAATGCTGTAAATAACAATTTATTCATTAGCTTTACCTTACCCCTACTCGTAAGCCTAACACTCGCAAATTTTAAATGTGAAAGGACCCACTTTTTCACTTTGAGTTACGAAGACACCAAGGCACTTATGGATTAGTTTGAATTAAATTTATCAAAATGATATTCATTTCATTGCCATACTGCAAGAAAGGGTTCAACTGATGTAATAACGGCTGACACGGTGGCTTAGTGGAACATCAGTTAAACCCTTTCTAGCAGGATGGCAATGAAACTAATAGAATTTAATAAAGTTAATTCAAACTGATTCAAATCTGCCTTTGTGTCCTCAAAAGTCTAACCGAAAGAGCCTGTCTTTTGACATTCAAAATTCGCTTCACAGTAAGATGGTTGCTGGTTTGAGTCCCACCTGGGTTAGTTGGCATTTCTGTGTGCAGTTTGCATGTACTCCCTATAGGCATGGATTTTCTCTAGGTTCTCTCCGGTTTCCCCACAGTCCACAGACATGCGTTGTAGGATTGAATAAACTAAATTTACTGTAGTGTATTAGTGTGAATGTGTGTATAGGTGTTTCCCAGTACTGGGTTGCAGCTGGAAGGGCATCAGCTGCGTAAAACATATACTGGAATAGTTGGTGGTTCATTCCACTGTGGCGACCCCTAATCAATAAAGGGACTAAGCCGAAGGAAAATGAATTAATGATGTAAATACTTGTGATATATGAAATGTTTAATATTTGAAATTGGTGAAAGTCATGCAACCAAATGACAATTTTAAACAATTTCTAAAAAAGAAATAAATAAATAATACTGAATGTATTTTCTCTTCCATTTAGGGCTATTGTAGCAAGGCGCTATTTCTTCCTGCTGGGCACCCTGTACATGTACAGATGCATAACCATGTACGTTACCACTCTACCAGTGCCTGGCATGCACATGGTCTGTGCCCCAAAGGTAAACCCCCATTATCAAAACTATTTCCAATATTCCCCTTCTACACCAATCCCCCTCAGGATCTTAAACCTAAGAGAAGAAAAGCTATTCTGCTTCTTAAATCTCTAATATCCTCTGCCAGTACCAAGGGTTCAGATTATATCAGGAGTGGTATTTGATTTCAATATTTATGTCAACAAACCACTCGTCGTTCAGCCTTCATATATCTCCTTTCATTTCAGCTCCACGGAGATTCCGAAGCGAAGCTGCAGCGAGTTTTACAGTTGCTGTCTGGCGGTGGATTATCAATCAACGGCTCTCATCTGCTGTGTGGAGACTTTCTGTACAGCGGCCACACTGTCATCCTCACCCTCACGTACCTCTTCCTCAAAGAGTGTAGGTTCAACTCAGCTCTGTTTGTATAGCAGATTTCATGAAACAAGTGATTTCAAAGCAGCCTTACAGAAAGGAAGCATAATTCTGCTTGACAATTACAGCAACGGCCAAATTATTGGAACATATCTGGCATTTTAGAAGGTTTCTTGGTTCAACTGGCCTTTACAATAACCATAAAACTAATGAAATATCTGCAAAGTCATGAACCATAGAGCCGCCAAAAGGAGTTTTGTAATTTTTTGTCTGTTTAAAATATAGAAAGTAATGTCAGAATTATTGGCCCTCGTGAATTATTAGCCCCGCTGTATTTTATTTCCCCAATTTCTGTTTAACAGATTTTTTCAGCACATTTCTAAACATAATAGTTTTAATAACTCATTTCTAATAACTGATTTATTTTATCTTTGCCATGATGACAGTACATAATACTTTACTAGATGTTTCTCAAGATACTTAAATGGTGCAATTAAAGGCTTAATTAGGTTTGGGTAATTAGGGAAGTTATTGTATAATGATGGTTTGTTCCAGGACAATTAAAAAAAACAAACATTGCTTAAGGAGGCTAATAATATTGACCTTAAAATGATTTTTTTTTTATTTAATTGATTTTATTCTAGCTGAAATAAAACAAACCTTTCTCCAGAAGAAAAAATAGTAAAAAAAAATAATGTGAAAATGCCTTGCTCTGTTAGACATTATTTGGGAAATATTTTAAAGAGAAAAAAAAGATTCACAGGAGGGCTAATCACTTTTGACTGCACCTGTATATTGACGCATGTCATGATTTTGTACACATAAATCACATATAAATCATATAAATAAATGATGAAGCTATTTATTAAGAAACAAAATGTAATATTTATTATGTATTAGGAAATGAAAAAAAAACATGCTTTAATAATAATATTAACAATATCAATGATGATGATTATTATTATTATTAAGTAGGATATTGTTTATTTATTTTTTTATCTACTTTTTACAATTTGACACATGCAAACCACTGCAGAAATGTTCTAGTCAACAGGCCCATGTCATCTACAGTACAGATTCTTCATAATTAACCTACTCTAAATTAAAAGCATTAACTTATGCTATGCTAACGTAAATTCCATTTTTGAATAATATGGCTATAATATGTCACCTATAGATTTCGTCATGAGCCACGGCTGTGTTCAAAATGACAATGTTTTCAATGTGCACTGCGAAGAGAGTGAAATTGTAAACATGAAGCTTGCTAAAACTGAACTTTAAAAATGCTTTGAAAGTAAATTACACCTAAGAGAGATGACTTTAATGTTTTAAAAAAAACATTCCAAGTTTAAATGTCAGAATGTTCTAAATGAATAGGGCATATGGGGATATAGACACAGCCAGGAACTATATTTCTAACTACAGCTCCAGAGGTGTAGTTGCAAGAGTACAAGTTTGTGACGCAGTTTGCGAATGTTCGTTGGAAGAATGGAGTTGGGAAATGCCAAATCACTGAACTATCTTTGTAACAACACAACTTCCGACCTTAGTTGGCTAATGATGTTTTTTGGAAACGCACCTCTGGACAGATTGTTGTGCATAGAGATTTAGTTCATTATAGTTTTTAAAAAGTTTAAATCATTAGTTCATCTTTTTTATTTTAAAGAAGTTTATGATGGAAAAAAATGTAAAGATACAAGTACAAGTAAAATTATACTTATACAAATATAATGATGGTTTGTTCTGTAGACAATAAAAAAAACATATTGCTTAAGGAGGCTAATATTTTGATGATTTTTCTATTTCTTATTTCTAATTATTTAAAAAAAACAGCTTTTATTATTGCAGAAATCGGACAAATAATGCTTTCTTCAGAAAAAAATATTAGAGGAAATACTGTAAAAAAATTCTTGCTCTGTTAAACATCATTCGGAAAAAAAAAAACAAGATTCACAGGAGGGCTAATCATTTTTTATAGCAACTGTATATTGACGCACAACATGATTTTGCCAAGTAGGATGTGATCCTGGATTAACATCTATGTAGATCCTGCAACATCATTTTTGCTTGAAAATGTAATCCATACCCATTCCCTACCCCTAAACCCAACCATAACTGTCAATTATTCCCAAAATCAGAGGGAATGATAGTTCATGTAGAAGTAATCAATCATGTAGAAGTGTGTAAACATAACCGTAAGCCTAAAGTTAACATAAACCATAAACATATCCCTTAATTCTGATTGGCTGATCGTGATGTTGTTCCAGGATCAACATAGATGTTCCTCCAGGAACATGTCCTACTTGGTGAAATCAGCTTGGCGGTATTGACTCTATGACAGAGAGATGTGCTTCTGTAGCTGCAGCAAAAGTTGGACAAGCCAAATATTAATCTAAGTCTGTGTGAAATCTAAATTTACAATGTTTATTTTGCTAGTACACATATTAAAGTGATTAATTAACCCATGCAAAAAAGTCCATTTGCTTCCACATTTGGAGTTGCGGTTCTTCTCTGATGATGTCAGTTTGACGTTTCAGCCACAATAAATACCTTTAGTTTGCTACAAGTGAAGTGAATACAACATTAAAGCCCCGCCCCTTACTCAATATTCAATTTGGAAGAACATCAACATACTGAGATAAAAGTCTCAGCAACTTCCAGATTCATGTGGATTTGACTCACTTCATTTGAAATGATCAACAATCAGCATCCTTCATGAACACTTTAAAATTAAATTGCTAACAAGTCAGTATTTTCAGATCTGAATAATATTGGTCATCAGTGGTTATACATAGTCATTCTGCCAATTTCCATATTGCAAAAAAATGTACAGTTTGCAAGGATACAGGCATACAGTGGTGATGACATTTGAAGGGAAAGTTTATTAAGATTTCCTCACTATTTACTCTCCCTCATGTGGTTCCAAGTTTCTTTCTTCTGTTGAACACAAAAGTAGATATTTTGAAAAATGTTAACTTGGAAAACTCAAGACTATGGTTACCAGTTTCCAACATTTTTCAAAACGTCTTCTTTTGTGTTCAGCAGAACAGACGGCCAGATTTATTTGCATTTACTATGTATGCAGCCTTTTTTGCATGTTCACATAACCGAGTCTTACTTTGTTTTGCAGATTCTCCTCGTTCTTTCTGGTGGTACCATCTTTTGTGTTGGTTAACGGCAGCTGTGGGTGTTGTGTGCATCCTGGTGGCCCACGAGCACTACAGTGTGGATGTGGTGGTGGCGTATTTTATCACCACAAGACTCTTCTACTGGTATCACACCATGGCTAATCTGCAGGTAGATATGAAATGCATGATTATTCTGTCATTGAATGTTATTACATTAGCATTCATCACATTATGCACTTCACAATAAAAGAGGAAATTTAGGTGCGGTGAATCAAAGGGTTTGAATTAAATAGAAATATTACATTAATATAAATTATTCTTATTATTATGTTTTTCCTGAAAAATAAAGAGAGTTTTTGGTCAAGATTTTCTGTTGTTACTATGTTTTAGTTTCATTTTTAATTTTATTTGTTATTGCAGGGTAAAAACATCACAGTTATCTATTTTATCTTCTCATCTTTTACCATTTGAACCAATTTTTAAATAATTTAAACTATTTTTTTAATCAAAACTAACACTGAGCTCCAATACGACTTTAAATCTGTAAATTCATGTCTGCAAATGTTATGTTCAGTTTACTTGCATTATTTTATGCTCTTGTGCACACACAGTAGATTTGCATACAATTTTTGATCTTAGGATTGACCTCAAGTACAAACACACACAAACACACACACACACACACATCTGAAACCAAAGGGAAGCTCTCAGCTCAATTTGTGATTTAGATTCTGGGTGTCATTAAACCCAAGGCACCAAAACAGCACTAAGCCTTTTACTGAAAGTGTTTACATGACTCAGAGCACACTGAGAATATCCAAATCCATTAGGCCGATCATTTGAGAAATTACTCCCTTATGATGGTAAAGTGCAGCATATTCGATTGAAGCCAATCTGGATCTTTTACACGGGGAAAAAAATCCTTTCAAACTATCAAAACACATCGCATTTGTTCATTCTGGCAGAAAAAGAGTAGCTGATGACTTCAGAACTGTTGTACCTCAGGAAGGCTATTTATATGGATGGCCTGAAGAAGCATCTACAAAATGAATTAATGTAAAAGAAGCGAGAGGTCGAGACTTTCGGCCAGCAATGTAAAGGTCACAGGTTCGATTCCTGAAAAAAGAAATTACGGCCGCAATAATGTCAGGCTTCAGGGCTTCTGTCCTCATCTAAATATGTTGATTTTCATGGAATTGTTAAATGGCTTTGGATCTAAAATGTCATCGCAAAGCAGCTAACCACATTACCTCCAGACTGCTCTTTGTCATAAACCTTAATGTCAGCATGACATGAAACTAAACATGTTACTCCAGAAATAATGTAATCTCCATCAATCTAAATTTGAAGGAGTTTTAGTTATGGCCATATCATGCTAGTAGACCAGTGTTTAACAAAATATTCAGGACACTTCAATCCCCTGTAATTTGTAAAAGATGATCAAAATTAGACTAGTCACTATTCTCACATGGGACATTGATGGTCTTCCTCGGGACATTGCTAGTCTCTCACTAGTCTCTCTCAGGACATCGCTAATCTTACTCCGAACATCGCAAGTATCTCACTAGTCACCCACAGGACATCACAAGTCTCCCTTGGGACATCTCTAGTTTCTTACAGGACATCTCTAGTCTCTCTCAGGAAAACTCTATTCTCTCTCGGGACATCTCTATTTTCTCACTAGTCTCTCTTGTGACATCGCGAGGCTCCCTTGAAGAAGGTGATGTGATCAAAATTAGACTAGTCACTATTCTCTCATGGGACATCAATAGTCTCCCTCGGAACATCTCTAGTCTCTCTCGGGACATTGCTAGTCTCCCACTAGTTTCCCTCGGGACAACTTTAGTCTCTCTCGGGACATTTCTAGTCTCTCTCGGGACATTGCTAGTCCCTCACTAGATTCCCTCGGGACAATTCTAGTCTCTCTCGGGACATTTCTAGTCTCTCTCGGGACATTGCTAGTATCTCACTACTCTTCCTCGGGACATTTCTAGTCTCTCTCGGGACATTGCTAGTCTCTCACTAGTTTCCCTCGGGACAATTCTAGTCTCTCTCGGGACATTTCTAGTCTCTCTCGGGACATTGCTAGTCTCCCACTAGTTTCCCTCGGGACAATTCTAGTCTCTCTCTGGACATTTCTAGTCTCTCTCGGGACATTGCTAGTCTCTCACTAGTTTCCCTCGGGACAATTCTAGTCTCTCTCGGGACATTGCTAGTCTCTCACTACTCTTCCTCGGGACATTTCTAGTCTCTCTCGGGACATTGCTAGTCTCTCACTAGTTTCCCTCGGGACAATTCAAGTCTCTCTCGGGACATTTCTAGTCTCCCTCAGGTCATCACTAGTATCTCACTAGTCTCCCTCGGGACATTACTAGTATCTCACTAGTCCTCACAGGAGATCACTAATATCTTGTGGGACATCTCTAGTCTCTCTCGGGACATCACTAGTTTCTCACTAGTATCCCAAGAGACATTAGTAGTCTCTTACGGGACATCTCTAGTCTCTCTCGGGACATTAGCTAGTCTCTCACGAGTCTTCCTCAGGATATCACTAGTCTCTCTCTAGTCTCCTTGGAACATCACTTTTCTCCCTCGGGGCATCGCTAATCTTCCTCAGAACATTGCTAGTCTCCCTCGGTACATCTCTTGTCTCTCTCAGGATATCGCTAGTCTCTCACTAGTGTCTTTTGGGACATCACTAGTTTCTTACTAGTCTCTCTCGGGACATCGCTAGTCTCTCACTAGTCTCTCAGGGGACATTACTAATCTCTCTTGGGACGTCTTTAGTCTCTCACAGGACATTGCTAGTCTCCCACGGGACATCTCTAGTCTCCCATGGGACATTTCTAGTTTCTAACTAGTCTCTAACAGACACCACTAGTCTCTCATAGACACCGCTAGTCGCTCACAGACACCACTAGTCGCTCACAGACACCACTAGTCGCTCACAGACACCACTGGTCTCTCACAGACATCACTAGTCTCTCACAGAACATTGCACATAAACTTCTAAGTTGCCTGTTTGATAAGGTTTTGTCAGATACAAAATAAATGACCCCCAAGTAAAATAAGCTAAAACACATGCTATTGTTGTTTTCTTCAGACTTTGAAGTGTTCGCCGAACAACTACCTCACTCACACCTGGTGGAACCCTGTGTTTAACCTGTTCGAGAGGAACGTCCAGACCCACGTGCCTTGTTCTTTCTGCTGGCCAATCACGTGGCCTCCTGCCTGCCTGAAGAACCCCTGTAAGAAATACTCCATGGTGCAGAGCGGGCGAGAAGAGTGACAGCATCTGGAAGCATTTTTGTATTCGGTTATTTGTGTGGCTCTCAGTGTTTACACCAAACCAAAGACCAAAGACTGCTTGGCTATTGTTGCTAATAAGCCAAACACACCACAGCCAAACAGCTCAAAATCTTGCAAAACTCAATACTATCTGACAGGTCATTGTTGATATTTGTTTTATGTTAATTTATATGTTGCCATTTAAACGCTTTCAATGACCTCCTGAAAGTGTTATAGTTATAAAAGTGATAGATTTTTGGAAAATCTCTTGCTTTCTGTCAAAACATAATCTATTATTTTGTGCATGCTTCTTAGTTGTAGTTTATTTTCCCCTTTTCTATTTATTTAAAGTGTTTAGTTTGAAACATGTTTGTCACTACAAGTGTTGTTCACAAGGGTGCATTCATTTTATACACTATTTTATATTATAAATGCATGTGTTCTTTTTCTAACGAGTCAAACCAACTGTTATTATCTCTTATGCTTATTTTGTCTTAAAAAAATAAAGATGTTTTATGAAAAAGGTGATGTACTACTTGTTGATTTTATTTTTCAATATTATATTGAGTCAGCAGCTTAAAATACAGATAATTCATTTCCAAGCAACTGACGGTACATAAATATTGTCATTTTTATTATTTTAGAGTATTATTATTTTATAAAGGGCCTAAGCCGAAAAGAAAATGAATGCATCAATCATTATTTTCATTATTGTTAAATTCTGAAATGGATTTACTTGTCTTTTAAGTTGTAATTTTTTTATGCAACTGTCACTGTTACAAAATAATTTATAGTCATAATGTATTATTCTTGCTATTTTTAATTCATCATCGCCATCATTAACTTCTAAAATATAATTATATATTGTAAGTTGGTCAATTTCTATATATCTGATTGGTACATAATTATTATGACTTATTGGTATTCTAGATAATGGATATTGACAATTACAGACCATTTATATTTATCAATTTTAATGCAATTTTAATTGTTACAAAACGTGAATGCTTTATGTAAGTATTTATTTATATACTGCATTATAATAATAGCATATTATTATGCCTTTAAATTTGGTGTCAACTGTTATTGCCACGTTGGTGCCAGACGGGCTGGTCTAAGTATTTCAGAAACTCCAGATCTTCTGGGATTTTCATGCACAACCATCTCTAGGCTTTACAGAGAATGATCTGAAAAAGAGAAAATATCCAGTGAGCGGCAGTTCTGTGAGAGCAAATGCCTCTTTGATGCAAAAGGTAAGAGGAGAATGGCCAGACTGTGTCCAGCATTTAGAAAGGCAACAGTAACTCAAATAACCACTCGTTACAACCGAGGTCTGCAGAAGAGCATCTCTGAAGGCAAAAGGGGGTCCAACCTGGCAGTAGTAAGGTGTACCTAATAAAGTGGCCGGTGAGTGTATATGTGTACTGACATCTTTAAATCTGGCCAGTTGCTGTAAGAATAAAAAAAATCTTTAAATATTGTAATTTTAATGAAATATATATATATATATATATATATATATATATATATATATATATATATATATATATATATATATATATATATATATATATTTTTTTTTTTTTTTAACAGCGTTTAGAAATCTGTCATAATCAGCTGATGAGTAACAAAGAAGTGAAACATTCATTCATTCGTTCGTTTTCTTGTCGGCTTAGACCCTTAATTAATCCAGGGTCGCCGCAGTGGAATGAACCGCCAATTTATCCAGCACGTTTTTACACAGCGGATGACCTTCCAGCCGCAACCATCTCTGGGAAACATCCAAACACACTCATTCACACACACACTCATACACTACAGACAATTTAGCCTACCCAATTCACCTGTACAAATGCCAACTGAGCCAAGGCTCGAACCAGCGACCTTCTTGCTGTGTGGCGACAGCACTACCTACTGCGTCGCCAAGAAGTGAAGCAAACACCTTCAGTGAAACCTCTCATGCTGATGCCTCTTTACTGAGTGACCTGAAGTGACCCCGCCCATCAGCCGCTCCACCAATCAGCTCTCGGCGTGCTCCTCTCAGCCAATGAGAAACACAAAAACAAGCCACCCATGCGGCAGCTCCAACAGCACAGGAAGAAGATGTGTTTGATCAGCAGATAGCGGTTATTGATTAGGAGGAACTATGCGTCTGTTTTAATCCATCAGTGGATTTGAGAAGTGCGCCAGTCATGGACGTATCAGCGGGTCTGTTGTTAGAGTATGTTTTCTCGCCTGCAAACATAGCAGGTTTGATAGCGTTCGTACTGGTTTTCTATGTGCTGCAAGAGTACCAGTGGCATCAGACATACGCCAACATCCCTCCGGGTCCAAAGCCATGGCCCATCGTGGGCAACTTCGGGGGCTTCCTCGTGCCACCTTTCATTTTAAAACGCTTCGTGAAGAACAGCAAAGAGTTCGCGAAGGTGGTGTCGAACCCGCTTTCTCCTCAGGCTGGACTCATAGAGATGTCCAAACTGTACGGGAACATATTCAGCATTTTCGTCGGGCCTCAGCTCATGGTGGTGCTGACGGGATACGACGCGGTGCGGGACGCGATGCTCAACCACACGGAGACGTTTTCTGACAGACCGCACATACCGCTCGTTACTATTATCACCAAGAGGAAAGGTACGTTACCATAAACAGTTTAGTTAATGATAATAGATCACAGTAGATTAGATTAGAATGGATTGGTACAAAAAAAAAAAAATCACACTTAACAATATGGTACAATCTGCAAATGTATTTGCTAACACAAACCAATACAGAAGAATACAATATTAAGGTAAAGTTGGTTTTATATTTGCACATTCATTCATTTTTGAACAGTGACAACTTGTGACATGCTTCCTATTTTATTAACCAAGCTGCTTCTAATATTCAGTCTAAAAATTGCATGCAAGTATGACTTCAAAACAATAATAGCGTTATTTAATAGACTGTGAACAATGTTGTAGGCTACTTTGGTAGTCAATAGCTGCTAATGTGATTTCACAGTGCTTTTCTGAAATTATATTATTAAGGAGAAACTCAGAACGTGTACATATGAAACCTCATTTACCTCAGTGAATACATTTAGTGTTTACACAGCTTTGTTAACCTCAGTTATTCATAACAAATGAAGAGTTCAGATGCAAAACCTACCTTCATACCCTTACAGTTTATATTTTACTAAGTAAATATAAATCTGACTTTACCTTAATGTGCTGTCCCTTTATTTATAGTTTAACATTTTCTTATGCATTATTAAAATCCAATGTTGCGCTTGTTAACAGCACACACATCTTAAGTCAGCTTAACGCAAGCGCTTTAATAGTCAAATAGGTGTCCAATTGCTGTGTTAAGGGATTATTCATATTGTTGACACCAAATTCTGACCCTACCATCTGAATGTCTCATTAGACCTCCAATCCAATCTTCTGTTGTGCAATTTTGGTGAGCCTGAGTGAATTAAAGCCTGAGTTTCCTGTTCTTAGCTGACAGGAGTGGCACCCGGTGTGGTCTTCTGCTGCTGTAGCCCATCCGCCTCAGGGTTGGATGTGTTGTGTGTTCAGAGATGCTCTTCTGCAGACCTCGGTTGTAACGAGTGCTTATTTGAGTTACTGTTGCCTTTCTATCGAAGCAGGTCAAAGTCATTTAAGTCATCTTTCTTCCTCATTCTGACCATGTCTACATGCCTAAATGCATTGACTTGCTGCCATGTGATTGGCTGATTAGAAATTTGCATTAATGAGCGGTTGGACAGATGTACCTAATAAAGTGGCCGTTCTGTGTATATATCATAGTTTGACTTGGCTGAACGTATTTACACTTAAAAATGGTGCTTAAAAATCTAGATTGGAACCCTAGTTATAGTATGAATTATACGCTAAATAAAAAGTGACCCAAAATTGTTTACATAATAATGTTAAAATATAAGTTTGTTGTGTGCAGGGATTGTATTTGCGCCGTACGGCCCGCTGTGGCGAACCAACCGCCGGTTCTGTCACAGCACTCTGCGCAGCTTCGGCTTCGGCAGGATGAGTCTGGAGCCCTGCATCCATGAAGGCCTGGCCATCATCAAAACCGAGCTCCAGAGCCTCATCGAGACAGCAGGCCCTTCTGGCATTGATCTGACTCCGCTCATCAGCAATGCGGTCTCCAACATCATCTCCTTAATGAGTCTGGGTCAGCGCTTCCACCATGAGGACAAGGAGTTTCGAAACATGCGGGATCTCATGTCCCACGGCCTGGAGATCAGCGTCAACACCTCCATTCTGCTGGTCAATGTGTTCCCCTGGCTCTACTATCTGCCATTCGGTGTCTTCAAGGAGCTGCGACGAGCCGAGCTTGACATTACAGCCTTCCTGAAGAGGATCATCGCGAGGCACCGAGCCACACTGGATCCGGAGAATCCCAGGGACTTCATCGATATGTATCTGGTGGAGATGCTGGCCAAGCAGAAAGAAGGCAGTTCAGAGGAAAACCTGTTCTCCGAGGATGATCTCTTCTACATTATTGGAGATCTCTTCATTGCAGGAACCGACACGACGACTAATAGCATGCTGTGGAGCATTCTCTATATGTCTTTGTATCCTGATGTGCAAGGTATGTTCGCAAACTCTGCACTGTCATTTATGGTTTGATGTTGTCTTTAAAGGGTTCAACATATTCTTAGTAACACTCTAGTTTGTCAGAATTCACTCTATTAACTCATAGCCTATCACCTGCGTAATATCATGATAATAACTCTATTACTAGTAATTAAGGTGGCTCAGTGGTTAGCACTGTCGCCTCACAGCAAGAAGGTTGCTGGTTCGAGTCCCGGCTGGGTCAATTGGTATATATGTGTGGAGTTTGCATGTTCTCTCCGTGTTGGCGTGACTTTCCTCCGCGTGCTCAGGTTTCCCCCACCGTCCAAGAACATGCGCTATAAGTGAATTGGATGAACTAAATAGGTCATAGTGTATGAGTGTGTGTGTGTGAATGAGTGTTTATAGGTGTTTCCCAGTACTGGGTTGCAGCTGGAAGGGCATCCGCTGTGTAAAACATATGCTGGAATAGTTGGCAGTTCATTCCGCTGTGGTGACCCCTGATAAAAAGGGACTGAGCTGAAGGAAAATAAATGAATGAATGAATACTAGTAATTATAAAGCATGATCTGAGTCTGCATCCCTAATCTTACAACATTCCTAAACCCAACTTATTGCCTTGCTAACGATTAGTAAATTGCTAATTAGTTATTTATTGAGCTAATAGTCTTATTTGATGGTTTTTATAATAGCGCATATTTTGACTGTGTTACCAAACTCCGTTATTAATTACTCTCATATTGGTCCAATCCCTTTCTTCAAAACACAAATTAAGATATTTTAGATGAAATCCTGGAGCTCTTTCATCCTCCATAGACAGAAATGATGCCAAGATGTGCAAAGGAATATCCAGAAAAGGAACGAAAAAATTTTGCCTCTTTCACACAGTGATATTGGTAAATATCTGGAAAATTACCGGAATGTCTTTACTGGTAAATAAAAAAAAAAAAACGCTGTTCACACAGGCAAGGACAATCCGGAATTTTTCCAGAAAAGACCATTCAGACATCCATTCCAAAATACAGGTAAATTCTGACACCATTAACCAGAAATTGGCTCAAAATGGCTGCGCTTGTATTTGTAAACGTAATAGGAATCCAGCTTGATAGTTTCACTTTTATTTAAAGCTTTAGCATTCATGCAGCTTATTACATACACATCCAAAAGCAGAAGCACTTACCGCAGCTAAATGTTTACACATTTGACAGCATAACAAATTCTGTGGAGGGATAAGTATTGTGAACAACTTCGATAAAAACAAATGGATGAACATTTTCACATTTCGAAATTTACATAATGTGTGTGTGTGCTGGCGCTCAGCGGAGAACTCCTGCACTTCACATGCACACGCGTCAAGCAGAGCGGTCATCGTAAGCATTTTATCGATCATTTTTTCCACAGTTGGCATTAGGAAGGAACATAGAAAAGTTATCTGACCAACATCCAGTAGCTATATGTGAAGTTTTTTTTTTCCCCAAAAGCAGCACTAATGTAAATGCGCCTGAGTGTTCTGATTGGCTAAAGTAGACATCTCATGTCAGCATGTTCAAGACGTGAACACGCTCTTTCTGGCAATCTTTCTTCTGCGTTCACATAGAGCAGCATTCCGGGAAATTACCGTTAATCTTACCACTTCTCTTTCCGGAAAATTGCCGGAACGAATTCACTGGTATTTTTAAAAACTGCCAGTAATTTAGAGTAAAGGTCTGTATGAGTGAAAGGGGCTATTGTCAAAACATTCCATGTGACTTTGATGGTTCAGTTTTAAGCTGCAGTCACACTGGACTTTTCTCCCCTTAGACTTCCATTTATATGCACACGAATTTATCAGACCGGAAACGCAAGCTTGTACGATTTCACAGTTTCACAGTACGCTGCATTGCAAAGTTCAAGCTTGAACATGTCATTGACATGACCTCTCTGAACAGAAATTTTAAATATCGACCAATCGCTTGCTTTTTTTAATGTCTAATCATCATGTTTAATCCCGCCCCCTTTCGCAGCACAATATGACAGAATTTCGCAAGATCAAGTCTGATCGCCGTTTTAATCATTCAAAGCTCCTAAAACAATTTTGTGCACCAAAAAACTATAAGAACAATTTTTTTTCCACCAATGTTTTCACTTCAAGTCATCAGGGTGTGCATTTACTACTGTACATACATACAGTACAAATATTTAAAAAAAATGCATGGATCATATTGCTCATTGTAAACACACACCCTGACCTGAAGCGGCTGAAGAGAAGTCATAGACAAACAAAGTAATTTTTTTTTTTTTTTTTACAATTTTGGCACGCAGCTTTTTATGGTTATAATTGAACCACTGAAGTCACACTAAAAGTTTTGACAGTTTTGGCTTCTTTTCCATTGCTGTCTACTGAGAATGAAAGAGCTCTTGTATTTCATCTAAAATCCCTTCACTTGTGTTTCGAAGATGAACGAAGGTCTCAGGGGGACTGAAACAACATGAGAGGGATCTTTCAGAATTGTAATATTTGATTTTGAGTGAACTAACTGTTAAACATCTTTGTTTAATGACCCCTAGAGAAGGTTCAGAAGGAGATTGATGCAGTGGTGGGATCTGAGAGAGTGCCCTCTCTGACCGATAAGAGCAGTTTGCCGTACACTGAAGCCACTATTATGGAGGTGATAAGAATGACTGTTGTGGTTCCTCTGTCCATACCACATATGGCCTCAGAAACCACCGGTGAGCTTTGGCTTTTTTAGAAATATTCAGGAGAACATATAGGAGATATAATATGATGGAACTTCTTAAAATGATAGTTCACCCAAAAATGAAAATTCATGCGCAGGAACACCACTTATGGGACGGTTTTCTTCAGGCTCAGATAGCGATCATCAGTATGATGGTTGATTTAGAAATAAAAAGCTGCAGATAAGCCAGAAAAATATGAATAATTGCAATAACAGTTTTATTACAGACGTACAGGATTTATTTACAATATTAAGTGCTTGCATTCGAACTGCAGTCTGTCAAAATATACTGAAATGTGAATTTGTTTAAGATTCCCCCACGAACATTATTTGATATAGTTTCCCACAGAAGGTATTTTGATATTGCAGTTGATTTTTGATGTTTATCTACTGTTAATTATTAACAAATTAAAGTAAACCAGGTCAACTTGAACTTCACCATAATACACATACAGTCTGCACAAAGCACATAATCATCGGACTTTAGAATGAATCAGTATTTCTTTTTTTATACCACATCCAAAGGGTGCACAGATATTTTCACTATACAAATATTTTGAGGGCACTTTAAAAAAAAGAACGGATAAATTAATCTGTGTCTCTTTGCAGAGTTCAGAGGGTTCACCATCCCTAAAGGAACGGTTATCATCCCAAACCTCTGGTCAGTTCACAGGGATCCCACAGTGTGGGAAAATCCTGATGACTTCAATCCATCACGATTTCTAGATGACCAGGGAAAGATTCTCAGGAAAGACTGCTTTATTCCATTTGGATTGGGTATGTTTCATAAGTCATGCATCTTCGAATAAAACAAACAGTGCCAATGTTATGCGATTTCAAAGGGTGCTGTTTTTGTTTTGTAGTTTCTTGCTACATTTCTTAATTCTTTCAAGGTCAAAAAAAGACTTGCAATTTTCTCATAAGTTTCACTGCAGCATCAGCTCTTTTTCCAAAACTGTTGATTAAAGGTGCTGTAAGTTTTTGACTCTCCTATAGCATAAAAATACCATAATATGTTTGCAGATATTTAAGAAACGTGCCAAGTGAACATTCTTGTTTATCTGAAAAGCAATGCTGAAGTCCGATATTCTGCTTTGGAAATACGTTTCTGTGCCGGAATGTCTTAGTTTTAGTTTTTATTAGCCTGCCCAATGCCAGTTTAGCCAATTATATTTCAGCACCCTGGATTGTCTTGGTGGAAAACCGCATATTTCATTCATTCAGTCAGGAAGACTGTCAAAGCATGCATCTGTGACCAAAATGCGAACTCCGGTGGACAGTAGTAGGACAGCAGACTCTAGAATGAGGTGCAGATTCAGAGTTCCACATGAGGTGGTGATTAATTAGCAAATAATATTACAAATGTAATATTTTAATACATTGTAACTTAGGGTCCTAAAATTATGATACATGACGAGAAAAATGATAAGGTTTACTCATGAAATGGTAAGGTTTATAATCAAATTAATACATATTAAACATATTCCTTCTATCGTGTACCGTTGTTTTTATTTAAACATGATTTAAATCAGCCTTTAGGCTCGACCGTCAGACTGGCTCCTGTTGGTCAATCTGGCAACCTGCACTTGCATTTGTTTCGATCCTGGAATGTAATACCTAGTTCAACCACTAGGTGTCAAATTTACCGTACCTTTAAAGACTCCAGCCTCCATTCACTTCCATAGTTTTTTCAACTATGGATGCTTTTACACATAGACTTTTGTTTCGGAACCCGTCTCATTTGCCCAGTTAAAGCGATTCGCTTGGCATATGTGAATCCAGCAATAGCGATCGGATCCGCGTTAAAACAATCAGTCCAAGATCGTCTGAATGAGGTGGTCTCGGCTCGATTGAAACTAATTCTGGAGCAGATCGATTGTGGTGAGAAAGCGATAATCCGAGCCCGGCTATTAGGGGTGTAACGATATTACAAACCGAACCGAAATATCGTGATACACCAACCACGATACGCATCGCGAAACTCTCGTGGCGTACCGCGGTATTCTCACGCCCCCTGCTGCCCATTATTGAGGTTGACGTCACTTGTCTCTAAGTAATTGAAACCAATTTAAACACATCTTTATTTTATTACATTTGATTGAAATGTATTAGTAATGATGAGCTTTTGTACTAAAAATTATATTCTAAAGTTAGTATTTTCCAAGTGCTTGTCTTGTCATGTGACTTGAGTGAGCGATAGTATTCGCATAGTATTGAGATTGCAGATCCCCCAGACACATTTAAGTCGCCTGTGTGGGAACATTTTTGTCTTCCAGTGGAGTACAGGAATATAACTTGTGTTATAGACAAAGCGCACGCGTATCCGTTCTAACTTTCACGAAACTTACTTATAAGGAATAACATTTAAAAAGTGTGGTAATTTTACAATGTGAGGGTGTAAGCAAAAGACGGCAAACAAAAGTGTTTAATGTACAAAAGTGAAACCAGAATAATGCCCAAATATATACAAAAAAAGAGAAATATTTACAATAATAAAAATAATATAATAAACCTGCAAATTCAAACAAAGTATCAAACAAAAATAGTTAATAGTTAAACTCGAGTTAGAGGATGATAGTGAAACCAAACAAAAGAAAGAAATAAAACAAAACAACTCTAACTCATGAATAACCCTTTACCTCGCTAGAAACTGATGAAAATAAACGTTTTCAGCGCAGTGCGACGTATTTTTCCGTATACTGAACTTGCCATGTGAAAGAGAACCACACCAAGAGCAAAGGGCAACAATGTAACAATTTTAATCCCTGTTTCTGAACAAATAATTTGATTCACAGGTGTGAAAGCACCCTAAGACTACTTCTGCTTCTGAGAAATCCTAAGAAAAAGTTCTAAAACAAACAAGCTCACTTCCACATCGCAGAATACAGTCAATACTTTGGATTTGGATTTGCTATTGCACTGCCGAAAAGAGCGCAGTGTCGACTTGACATGTTGACAACACAAACCAAATTATTCCAGGCCTCAGATACACGTCAAATTAGATTATAGACTTGCTTCATGCTAAATTGTTATGAACTACATAGGTTAGTAAAACTGGATGCTTTATTTAGGCATTTCAGGGTCGCTTCTTTCTGCAATTTTGTCGTAACAGTAGAAACAGACAACAAAAAAAGGTACCCTTATCGCTCAGTAAAAACAAGCCATTTAAAACAGCTAAAATAAAGGCACTTTAGGCTACCAACTACTATTGCTCAAACTGCACATTGCTGATTTAAAGTGTTGTGACTCTCACAGGGCGCAGAGTGTGCATGGGAGAGCAGCTGGCGAAGATGGAGCTGTTTCTGATGTTCACCAGCCTGATGCAGACCTTCACATTCAGGTTTCCAGAGGGAGCAACTGCTCCTTCCATGCACGGACGCTTCGGCCTGACTCTGGCTCCATGCCCGTTCACTGTCTGTGTCAAAACACGCTGAACGGGGCTTTAAAAATGTCAATACCAAAGCAAGGAGTCATCATTAGGGAGCAAATTGCACAGGTTGTGCATTAAGGAGAGTTGTTCATTGGAACATGAACAAAGTAAGAAGTAAGGGCCTTTTTAGTTGTATGATGAAGCAAAAGCTTTTAGGCTATTTTTATAAAAAGAAATGTCCTAAATTTTCAAGAAAAAAAAATGCATACACTTTAAAAAATATCTAATATATTAACGTAGCAAGTAGTTTGTCGTTAATGGATGTTTTACATTTATTTAGTCTTTTGATATGCATTATGAGATCTTTGATCTCTGCCACAACAAATATTTATGTTTACAAGCTTAACAAAGTGACTTTTATTGACATTTTACTAGCTTGAAAAGACCTCCATGAAGTTGCCACCCCATAAAAATAAACAATCCTTAAAACCAAGCATTATATCAAATTAAGCACAGTTTGTTTGTGCTGTGCTGGGGTCCGTTCTTCGTACGTGGATTACATATTTTAACTATATATATATATATATATATATATATATATATAAGTTAAAAAATACATATTAAAAAAACTTGTGCAATCTGCACTCAGAAGTAAAAGTAAAAGACTGCCACCTGGTGGTTCAAAAAGAAAATTTATTGATATGAACTTTTTAGATACAAACTTGTACATGCACAATATTTTTTTTTTAAAAAAAGATAATAATTTATGCTGTCATGCACGTGTTTTGACTGCTAATATTCTGATGATTTGATGCTTCACAAACGTTTATCAAATGTTTACCTTTATCAAATGCTTTTTTGATGCAAAATTAATTTATACAGTTTTTCTCTATGCAGATTAAAACTTGAGTAGGCCTAGGCTACAATAATAAAGAAAATCTTCTCTAAATGTAGAACTAAATACATTGAGATGCATTGAAATACATGATGAATACTCTTGACACATGAAAGTGTAAAGCCTGCAGCTCAAAACAAAGGTGTAAAGTTATTGCTTGTCATATTTAACAAACCCTTTACTGCTAATTTGATGTAATTTTGCTCACATGGATAATTGAATAATAATCAGATGATGTCATTACGCTGCTGTGCCGTCAGCCAATCATTGCATTGCTGATCATGATTTCGAGGATGGATAGATCTGTCCTTCACAACGCTCGAAGCGATCTCAGATCAGTTCATCCTGACATTTTTAATCTGATTCGCAAACTTGTTTGAAGAACCAAATTAGCTGTAGATCAGTTATCAAGATTAACAGATCCACGAACTGTCAGATCATCTTGCTTTGTGGCCATAAAACAAACACTTTATCTGTTTCCGATGTTTAGATATAACCAAAATGTTTCGTGGGCCGTGACGTCACTCTCCACCCCAGGTTTTCTAAATGACACAAAACTGGTGTCATTCCTTTGTGCTCGATTTGTGCTGGTTTGTCTCATTAAAACAAATACTGTATCTATTTTCCTCATTTAGATATAACCAAAATATTTTGGGAGCCGTGACGTGACTCTCCATCCCATATCCTCTAAATCAGCACAAAACAGGTGTCATTCCTTTGTGCTTGATTTGTGCTGGTTTTGTCCCGTTAAAACAACCACTGTATTTATTTTCCTCGTTTAGATATAACCACAATATTTCATGAGCCATGACGTCACTTTCCGCCCCATTTCCTCAAAATCTCACCAAACTGGTGTCATTCAGTTGTGCTGGATTTGTTCTGGTTTGTGCAGTTAAAATAAACACTATCTATTTTTATTGTTCAGATATTGCCTAACCTCTAACGTCTATATTGATCATGAAAAAACAAGGTAATGAGCAGAATATGCTCGTTTTTTGCCATTTCTTCACAGAATATATGCAGAAATATGCTGAATGTTCGTTTCCCAGGACAGGAAAACACCCAATCACATTCACACTCACTCATACACTACGGCTAATTCAGTGTATTCAATTCACCTACAGCTTGACCTTTTGGGGCTACAGGAATGTTTGTTAATAGTCTATTTAAACTCATTTTTTTGCAGAGATCAAGGTCCCTTAATGCAATTTTTAAGTGTTATTAAACATCCAGGGATAGCAAACTACAGACAAATGTTAATTAGCAGGTATTTTTTACCGAAGTATTTGAACTCTTTCAATCTAATAACACATCATTTTTGAGACTGATTATTGACTACTGTACTACTATCAGACTGTTAACACTATTATTTTGTGGAATGACAGCAGAAAATTATTTCAAATGCGAACTATTGCACGGTTTAGTATTATAATAAAACTATTTTTGAATGTTAAACTATGGGCTTGAAAACGGTCCTGTGCCTGAAGTTTCTATTATTATTTCAGAATAACTCTTTTTTTCTGACTCAAAGTCATGAACATTTCCGGGAAGAGTCATTTCAGATATTTCATATTATTTCTGATGTCATTTGGCTGTGTCAAATATCAATAATTTTTGGAATAAAATGACCAGCTTTGTCTTGCTGAAGCTATTTTCATATCTAGAATTTCACGTGTCCTATATGCACAGTATTTTCGCACTTTTTCTATTATCTGACTTTAAAATACTGCTTGAATGCACAATAAAAATAAATGATGCATAATAAAATATTCTGCTGGAAAGCCATATTTGTCTGATTTTGTCACATTTTATATTCAGAAGTGGCATCTTGGTTTGGCTTCTTGAAAAACAACTACATGCTTTTATATTTATTAGCAAAAGTATATTAATTCAGGTGGAAATTAGGTGTGCTACAATGGGGTGTACGGTAGTTATCTAAATATTGAAAAAGGTTTGACATTTTACTGTTTGTTAGATCATTATTATAATGATAAAATTTATGTTTACATAATTTCTTAGATTACTATCAGATTTAAAGGGATAGTTCATCACAAATCTGAAATGTTATTATTTACTCTCTTCACTTATTTTAAACCTTTTTTTTCTGTTAAATACTCAAAAAGATAATTTGAAGAATGCTGAAAACCTGTAACCATTGACTTATAGCATTTGTTTTTCCTACTATGGAAGTCAATGGTGATTAAAGGTTTTCAGCTCTCCTCAAAATATCTTCTTTTGTGTTAGACAGTAGAAAGAAACTCTAATGTTTATAACCACTTGGTAAAAAGTGAGTACTTCATTTTATTATTTTTGGGGGGTGAACCATTCCTTTAGATCAGAAATGTCACTTTAAAATGCATGCTGTCTCTGTGAAGGTCAATCCCACCAATGGAAAAAAAGGTATTGTGGCTTTAAAGTTATATTTATTGTGAAAAGTCAGAATTGTAAGTTTGCATCACCTAATTCTGACTTTTTTTCTCAGAATTGTGAGATGTATACTCGAAATTGCGAGATATAAATTCAGAATTCTTAATAAAGTCAAAAATTCTGATCAAAAAGTCTCCATAACAGGAAACTCCTTTATATAACTCGCAATTATGACTTTTTATCTCAGAATTCCGACTTTTTCTCACAATTGCATGATAAAGTCATGAAATATAAAATTTCTCAGATTTGTAATATATAACGTCAAAATTCTGAATTTATAACTTGAAATTGCAACATTAAATCTCATAATTCTGACTTTATTTTTCAGAATTTCATCTTTATTTCTCAGAATTAAGTCACAAATTCAGAATTTCAGAAAATCTGAATTACGAGTTTGCTTCAAGCAATAACTCTTTTCAGTGGCGGGAACGAGCTTCCATATAATGCTATTTTCAACTTTTTAGTCTCCACTTTCCTTACTAATATGCAACTACCTCTCTGACTCCTCAACTAATTACAAAAAAAAAAGAAAACTAATGCTTTCCTTCTTAGACTTTACACACCTGAAACTTGCCTGCAGCACTTATTGATTGTTGCTCTTATAGTTGTGTAAATTGCTTCCTTGTCCTCATTTGTAAGTCGCTTTGGATAAAAGCGTCTGTTGAATGACTAAATGTAAATGTAAATGTTTTCCACCTTTGCTTCTCGAGCACGCGCTCTAGCAGAGGATTGTGCACGCGCATCTGTCATCGGATTACTGCGGTTAGGCCAGTCGCCAGTACGGAATGGAATGTCATTCTAGCCGCCAAGATATTTTAGCGGTCGCTCATACACTGCGTATTACGGTAGAGAGCTAAAAACTGAACACAAATACATTTGCTGCCTGCTAACGCATGATTGTCATGATAGATCGGCTTCTATCACCACGATCTAATGATCAAGAATTATGTGAATCTGATATGAAATTATAAGATAAGAGACCCCTTTAAATATTTTTGAACACTGACAAAGTAGTGGCGTCAGTGAGATTTGAAGGGCTTTTATTTTGTAAACACGAATAAAGCAGCCTTACATTTTTTTTAGTTGCATTAATTTATTATTCAGTTCGTTGTGATTAAATTTTTTATCATCAGACCGTGATAGAAGCCGATTTATCATTAAAAAAACATGCGTTAGCAGCAACAGTATTTGTGTTCAGTTAAGTTTTTAGCGCTCTACCGAAATTCGCAGTGTATGAGCGACTACAAAAGTACCTGGGCGGCTAGAATGACAGTTCATTTTGAACTGGCGGCTGGCCTGACGAAGTGAAACACTGGCCATGGCTTTCGTTACTCGGCAGTTCAGCAGAAGCTTCTCATCTTCACAAGCTTTACATCATACTATTAAACATGTCACGGTTATTGGAGGTGGGCTGATGGGCGCTGGTATTGCACAAGTAAGTTATCGTAAACGAAACACGGCAACTGCATTCAGCGGCAGAGATCTAACGTTAGCGAACTGGCTAGCCAGGCTACAAGCTAATGCTATCACTCAATAAGTTCACTTTCTATTAGTTTTATGATGCATGTACAGTATATCCAATGCAATGACAATTATGAATTTATGTCTATGATGTTGTGTAATATGTTGCATATTAAAGATACGTTGACAATGTCTGCAAACTTAACCAAGTGACCTTTCACCCACTTACCCAGCACACATTAAAGGTCCAAGTTCATAAAAACACGGAGTGTAGTAATAATGCATACTGCTTTAAATAAATAGTAAAATAGTTTCATTTACCATAATTCCTGCATCTTTCTATCAGGATTTCTTTCTTGTCCTGAAGGTTTCAATGGCCTGCAGAGTTTGGATCTGATCAAGCTAGCTTCTCTGTGATCTTTCTATTGATCCAAGTCATTGTTTACTCTGCTCAGGTGTGTTTGATACGGGATAACAGCTATACTCTGCAGGAAAGTAAATGCCTTGGGGATACATTTGAACATCCTCTTCTTTATACAGTATGGTTAAAATATAGAGATATAGATGGTTTTTCATTCGCACATTCATTTATTTCTGGACAGTGTAAACTTGTGAAACTATTGTTAACCACGCTACTTTGAGTTTTCGGTCTAAAATCACATGCAAGTATGTCTTCAAAACAACATTGGCACCATTTATTTTACTGTGAATAGTGTTTTACTTTGATAGTCATTGGCTGCTAATGTTTAGGATTTGCAAATAATACTTTTCTGAAATTATACTATTAAGGAGAAAGTCTAAAACCAGCTTTGCACCAATGATTTTAATACTGATTAACAATCTATCTGTTTTTGTACTCGCTGACATCTACCAAATCTGTGCAATGTGAAATGTTTAAAGTTTAGTTTTAATAGCACCAATCTTGATTTTCATTTTATATCTGATTCAGATTTATTATTTATTATTATTATTATTATTATTATTATTAATAATAAAGCAAATGGGCTAGTTCATTTTTTTTAAGCAAGAAAACTGTTTAAAATTAATACAAACAAAGTTGCTTTATCATAAGAAGAACTACCTGGAGTAATTTAATGGATATTTCACCCATAAATGAAAATGGTCATCAATGCCTCACCATTTACCTCTTTGACGCTCTTTCTAAAGCACAAAAGAAGAGGTTTTGAAAAATGGTAAAACCCTGCAACCATTATGCACCTTAACCAGCAAGCATTAATCTGCAACTATGTAAGTCAATGGTGGTTACTGGTGGTTTGCAGCTTTCTTCAAAATATCTTCACTTGTGTTTAACAAGAAAAGCAGCTTGGAACCACTTGAGGGAAGAAATTGAGCAAATAAAAATCATGTTAACCGTGCCTTTAAGTGGAAACCTAAACATTGCCAGCATTTTTCAGGACATTTATGCCAAGTGTTTTTTTTCCACTGGCAATGAACTGAGTGAACGTGCAGAATGGCATCGCTCCCTGACATTAGATTGTGCCTAAAGAAGAACACATTCCCTGCTGGTACACATGATGGCACTGCAGAACTGACTTGCTTGTTGCACAGAAATAGTAGTCAATCAAACATTTTTCCTTGTGTATTAATTTATGACACAAGGTTTTCCACTTCTGTTTAACTTTCTTCACTACTGCACAAAAGAAAGTGTTACAAATGAAATTAAACTCCAGTCTTATTTGATCTGCAATTTCTGTGAGCTCAGCCAAGTTGTTTTGTTCTTAAAGGGTCTTAAAATCGCCCTCTTTTGGTTCAAGTCTACCTCCGAATTTTTTCAAGAAATGCTTAGATGGGCTGAAGCTCTATGAGCAGAGAGAGGAGTGGGCGTGGCTGGTAGAGCAGGGGAAAAGGAGGGGAGTGATCAACTGTTGTCAGCTGGCTCACAAAATGAGACCCAAACCGTGAGGAGATGCACAAGTTCATAGTGTTACAAAGTTAAATGCAAAGAAATAAAAAGTAAGTAATTTAATGTCCTGTTACATTTGTTATTCGTCATTTCATTTACACATAACCACAATTTGTTATTTCATTATAAAGATAATCGTGTTTATATAAACGCTATAAATGAGAGAGTTCTCTCCTCCTCAATCCCCAGGTCTTAATGCAGACACAGTGGATAGCAGTGCAGCAGGTCTCTTGCCCTGTCTATTCCAGCCATTAACCCTGTCAGTAATCTGGAGGATTTTAAACATAGGTGAACACAGCAGCACGGATCTAGGCAATTTGTCTGAATGGTAATGAACAACTAATTAAAGACAAAGTCCGCCATTCTCCAATTCTCGTACAGCTCTCTTGACAAAAATGCTTGCCGCAAACCAACAGCTTTGCTGTATCTACCCTGACAGAATCAAGGGAAAAAACGTGCAACAAACCCAGTGGATCCTGGAAACAAACACATACGTCCCGTGCCATGCAGACACGGTCTCACCCAGTCATTGGGTCACAGCTTGGCAGGTCTGCTTTGCCTTCGGAAATCACGTGCTCTGATGAATAATTAAGCAGCAGCGTCTTCTCATAGGATAAGAAAACTCCGTTATGAATAATGAGACACCGACGCAGATTCGCGCCACCACAATGATTTTGGTCCTGCCCCAAAAATGATTTTAAACCCAGAAGATGAAATTAGCTGACAAAAGCTCCAAATTATTCAGTTTTTCCCGCAATTAAAGCTAACAGGTGCCAACATCGTCTTAAATGATGCTCAACACACACACATCTGGTAAAATCTCAAAAAAAGAACCTTTTAAACTGGTGTTTTATTGGAAATTCAACAGCAAACTAATTTGTAATCCCAAAATAAAGTCTGAGCTTATTTATTTATTTATGAAGAGGCTTTTTTGCCTTGTGTTTTGTACACTCACATGAGCGCTGTTTGTTTAGTCTTGAGACATTAGAAGTTGGTGATAATTGCATGTGTTTATGCATGATAGATTATGCTTTTTTAATTGGTGAAATGTCCATTCAGTGTCTAGTATTTCTTTTTTTCAGGTCGCTGCCTCCACAGGACATTCAGTGGTGTTGGTGGACACTTCTGCAGACATACTGAATAAATCTGCGAAGGGGATTGAGAATAGTCTGAAGAGAGTAGCGAAGAAGAAATTTGCAGAAAAACCAGAGGTTAGTCACAAAAATGTTCATACCAATAGACTTGCTGAATGTCTGATGCAGAAAACTGAGGAAATTGGAAATATTTTAGGGGGCAGTTGCAGAAACTAGTTGTAATCTTTTCTTCTCCAAATCTGCCTTTTTCCCCATTTAAACTCTGTTAAAATGTATCATTCTAATTTGAAAGCTGCAATAGAGTCCAAACATACTGCAAGAGTCTAGCTATTTCATGGGAGCTTTCATTCAATAAATCATGCAAAAATAACTGTGGCTTTGTTTCTGTAGGATGGCGAGGCGTTTGTTCAGAAAGTCCTGAAGAATGTATCTACAAGCACAGACGCTGCGTCTGTCGTTCATGGCACTGACCTGGTGGTGGAGGCTATTGTGGAAAACCTCAAAGTCAAACAAGACCTGTTTGGTGCTCTGGATAAAGTGGCCCCAGAGTAGGAAAAACATGCTTTTCAGCTCGTATAGTAATGTTCTGCTACATAACACCTTGCAAGTAAAAAAAAAAAAGCTGTGGTGAAAAATAGTCAGTTCTGGGACAAAATGCATCACTATTCTCTCTTGAATAGCTTAGCTTATTACAGCAGATGGAGCCGTGTGCTTTATAAAAAGCTGTACTTTGCTCCCACACACAAACACTCTTTCTTAATAGCATGTTAGTGTATGGTTGACAAAACTATCCTAGAGCACCATTTGCTGTTAAAACTAGCTTACTGTGCTATCTTCTGTTAAAAACTAGCGTAAAGCATCATCTGCTGTTAAAAACTAGCGTACAGCATCATCTGCTGTTAAAAACTAGCCTACAGCATCATCTGCTGTTAAAAACTAGCCTAGAGCATCATCTGCTGTTAAAAACTAGCCTAGAGCATCATCTGCTGTTAAAAACTAGCCTAGAGCATCATCTGCTGTTAAAAACTAGCCTAGAGCATCATCTGCTGTTAAAAACTAGCCTACAGCATCATCTGCTGTTAAACTAGCCTAGAGCATCATCTGCTGTTAAAAACTAGCCTACAGCATCATCTGCTGTTAAACTAGCCTAGAGCATCATCTGCTGTTAAAAACTAGCCTAGAGCATCATCTGCTGTTAAAAACTAGCCTACAGCATCATCTGCTGTTAAAAACTAGCCTAGAGCATCATCTGCTGTTAAAAACTAGCCTAGAGCATCATCTGCTGTTAAAAACTAGCCTACAGCATCATCTGCTGTTAAAAACTAGCCTACAGCATCATCTGCTGTTAAAAACTAGCCTAGAGCGCCTTTTTTAAAAAAACTACCCTACAGCATCATCTGCTGTTAAAAACTAGCCTACAGCATCATCTGCTGTTAAAAACTAGCATAGAGCATCATCTGCTGTTAAAAACTAGCCTACAGCATCATCTGCTGTTAAAAACTAGCCTAGAGCGCCATTTTCTTCTAAAAACTAGCCAAGAGCATCATCTGCTGTTAAAAACTAGCTTACAGCCCCACCTGCTGTTAAAAACTAGCCTATATCGTGCCACCTGTCGATAAAATTTAGCCTAGAGTGCCACCTGCTATTAAAAACTAGCCTAGAGGGCCTTTTGATGTTAAAAACTAGCCTAGAGCGCCACCTGCTATAAAAAAAATTAGCCTAGAGGGCCATTTGATGTTAAAAACTAGCCTAGCGTGCCATCTGCTGTTAAAAAAACTAGCCTGGAGGGGGACTATCTGCCATTAAAAACTAGCCTAGAGCACCACTTGCTAATAAAAACTACCTTACAACACCATCTGCTGTTTAAAGCCAGACTGGAGAGCGCCATCTGCTGTTAAAAACTAGCCTAGAGGGCTATTTGATGTTAAAACTAGCCTAGTGTGCCATCTGCTATTAAAAAATTAGCCTGGAGGGGGATTATCTGCCATTAAAACTAGCCTAGAGCACCACTTGCTAATAAAAATTAGCTTACAACACCATCTGCTGTTTAAAGCCAGTCTGGAGAGCGCCATCTGCTGTTAAAAACTAGCCTAGAGGGCCATTTGAAGTAAAAAATTTGCCTAAAGTGCCATCTGCTGTTAAATTAAGCTAAGAATTGATTCAAAAGTGAACAACAATGCATTTTAAATAACTTATAAATGATGCAGAATCTATTTCTGAAGCATTTTTTTGGCACACCTCTACAAATAAATAAGTACATAAACCTGAAATTAATTAAATTGTATGTTTTGAGAGGAAAGCCATTTGGCCAAAACATTTGGCACAGATTGACCAATCAGAATGTGTCATTCTGACGTACTGCATATGCCTAATGAGTATGCTGGCGGTGTGAATTACATAAGTGCTTGATTTATAATTACTGGTACTTGGAAAAAGTCCTTTAATCTGTTGTTCATGAAAGAGTGGGAACCTAGCTCTTAATCATAATAGTACAGACACTAAACCTTGCGTATGGTTTAAAAAATCTATGGTAAAGACAGGCCAGTAATATGTTTGTTCTCTCTTCAGACACACCATATTCGCAAGCAACACGTCCTCTTTGCCCATCGCAGACATTGCCAGCTGCACCGCCAGATTAGATCGCTTTGGCGGTCTGCATTTTTTTAACCCCGTCCCAATGATGAAGCTAGTGGAGGTACTTTGACTGCATTTAAAAATTTAATAACAACACAACCTTCCATATTTAAGAAGAAATATATTAATAAACGCAAATACTTTCATTCTTTTTCTCATCTTAGGTGATTAAAACTCCGGCAACAAGCCAACAGACATTTGACGCCCTCCTCGAGTTTAGCAAAGCTTTGGGGAAGCATCCCGTCTCATGCAAAGTAAGTATTGTGTAATCCATGTGTGCACACTTTAGTGTTATTTATCACTTAGTATTATTATTTATTTCTTCTCAGGACACTCCAGGTTTTATAGTGAATCGTCTGCTGGTTCCTTACATGCTGGAGGCTGTTCGGTTACACGAAAGAGGTACAAGAATTCAAGGTTGCAGGGTTCTCATGGGTCATGACATTTTTGGAATATCATGAAAAGGTCTCATTTTTTTGGGTCAGGGGTGTCCAAACTCTGTCCTGGAGGGCCAGTGTCATGCAGATTTTAGCTCTAACTTGCCTCAACAGACCTGCATGGATGTTTTTAGAAAGCCTATAAGAGCTTGATTAGCTAGCCCAGGTGTGTCTGATGGGGTTGGAACTAAACTTTGAATGGCACCAGCCCTCCAGGACCGAGCTTGGTCTTAGTCTTTGAATATCGGTTTGTCGTTTTAAAGTCCGAACTGGAAAGATGCTGAACAGGGTTGGCCGATGTCGACCAATCTGGCATCGTACAATGTCTAATGTGAAACATCGCGATGGACAATAGCATCTAGGCATGCACCGATACCATTTTTTTCATCCGATCCCAAATCGCCTAGCAACCTACAACCTACGAAACACGAGTGAAATGGAGAAACTGAAAGCATGTCTGAAACATTATTTTGCGTCTGAAAAATTATCTTTTTAAAACAAATTTCGTTTGGTATAATTTATTAGTTATTTTAATGTATTTTTGTTGGTCAGTTATCTAGTTATCTGTTAGATTTCTATATTTAGCATTATCAGCAACAGTAGCAAAGATCATTTTTCGTATTGAATATTTTCCTTTATTTCTTGTTTTTTTTATTTTATTAAAATTACAGATTCCAAAATCTTTTAAAACCAATAGTTTCTAATGCCTCGTTTCCACTGACTGGTATAGTACGGTGCGGTTCGGGTCGGTATGGGTCACCTTTATCAGGCTTGCGTTTCCACCACAAAGGGTAACCTTTTGGTGGGCTTGGTGTTTGACAAAGTTTAAGTCGACATCATGCTCGCTCAAATAAATGTCTAAAGTAAAGCTGTATGGGTCGTTCACATATCATAATGAGCAGCACTTCTCATACAACAGATGCTTTATACACATAAATACTTGTTTATAAATGTTTATTACTAACTTTTCTATGAACATGATTTTATTATAACTGCAGATCAATGACAGTGCGAAAAAGGCTACTGTTACATCTGGAATTATATAAAATAATACATAAATGCAACATATATGAACACATACAGCCCATTACGGTCTCCGATATGTTATTAATTACAGAAAAATTACACTGAGCAAACATTTAGTACTTATCTGAGTTTAAAAACGCACGCAATATAGCCCTTAGTCAGCCAAACCTCTCATCTAAGTCTGTAATCTTCACCAGCACATGTAAGCTCTGTTAGAGAGTAAATTTGTCATTCCCAGTTCATAATAATCCACAAGACGAAGATAAACATGGCAGTTTGTTCATGATTTAGGTTGCTAAAACAATTTTGCTCCTGTGTTTTGACGGCTTCTCTTTTTTTCCGCGTTTCACTCCCGCTTCACTCTCGCGCTTGTCCGTTTTTTCTGAATGTATCAGATGACGGAGACACTTCAATAATCACACACACGTTATTATCATCAGCTCAAGAAGTTCGTTATATCAAATATAGAAGCGATCGCAAGCTCCCGGAAGAAAGCGAATACCGCTCGCATTTTTAGACAGGCTCGTAAAACAACAACGGGACACGGCAGATTTTTCTTCTTGGCTTTGTGTCTGTTAGTTGAGACGACGACAAGGTTTGTTTGAGCCAGGGTCATCCATGGCTCGTTATTACATGCATATAGTATTTCAATGTTATGTCCCAGCTTTGCATTTAAAAAAACATGGCGGTTCCTTTGTTTACGTTCTGTGTAGCTCCATGAGCTTGTGACGTATCTCTGTATCCAATCAGCGTTCAGCTGCACATGTAGCCACCTTTTGGTACCCTTTCTCCCATTTGGTACCCTTTTGAAAAGGTGCCGAAAAAGTGGTACGGTACAGTTTGGTTCAATACGCTTTTTTTAAAGTGGAATTGGCCATAAAAGCGTACAAAAATGAACCGTACCGTACCACTCAATGTAAACAGGTCATAAAGTATTATTTTTGTATAAATGGAAAGCAAATGACATTTGTGTCCTCCCTTTTTTGCTGATTCAAAAAATGATCTAATCCGGGATTCATAAAACGTAGTGTGATCTAATCCGTAGTGTGATCTAACCACTATTGTCTACAAATTGATTACTTCAGAAACTGGCTACTCTTCTTTCTTTTCATTTATTTCCATCGTTACTCTAATAATGGCTTTTTAATGTCATGAGAAATAATATTCAAGGTTGAATTATTTTAATACTACGCAAAAGTATTTTTCTAAAATCAGTGAAAGTCAGAGATTTTTTCTGGGAGTGGCAATCCTGGGTTGCTGAATGCATTTCAAAAAATGTCGGTCCTTCCATTTTTCACGCAGGTCATGGTTCGAAGGAAGACATAGACGTGGCTATGAAGCTTGGCGCTGGTTATCCTATGGGTCCGTTTGAGCTTCTGGACTATGTCGGATTGGATACTTCAAAGTTCATTATTGATGGTGGGCTTTATTAGTTGAGCTTACCTTTATATCTGATGCACTGTAACAGTTTTATGCTAATTTCAACTCTGGGTTTGTGCAGGTTGGCATGCCAAGGACCCCGATAACCCCTTGTTTGCCCCCAGTCCCCTGCTCAACAAACTGGTGTCAGAGGGGAAGCTGGGCAAGAAAACTGGCGAGGGATTCTACAAACACAAATAACAGAAATGAAGATTACTAGGCTTTTATATTCAAGTTCAAGTTACACAACTTGTCAATGAAATGAGTCAATAGTCCTCAAAAGACTGTTCATGCATCATGTTAATGTACAAAATCAGGAATGTAAGCTAATTAAAGTGATCAGATACACAACTTTTCAATGGGAAGTGAAATACTGGATCACTTGCCAATCGGTCTTGATAAAAAGAGCAACATGATCCACATCTAGTGCCTTGCTACTGTTTTATTGACTTTTGTTCATTAATTATGTGGCAATAAATGGTTTGAAATCATATTCCATGTGTTGTTAATGCAGTACATAATATAGCAATCAGTCACTAGAGGGCGCTCTTTCTTCATTTATTCACACAACATGCACTCTCAATAAAAGATCTACAGTGGACAGTTTGATTTAAATCTAGTGCACACATGAAGAAATGTAGTTTTCCAGAACATGATATAATTAAACTTTAATATTACAGATATATTGGCCTCAGAATGTGTTTGGAGCAAAGGTTAGGAGATTTTGATCACTCTTTAAGATTGTATAAATATTAAATAGTTTTATTATTTTCAAATAGCTCAAACACATTTGAAGAGAATATTAGCTAGAATCTAGCTGTTTTGCAGCCGACATGATTTTAAATCCTGGAAAAAGTGTGTTAATATTCTTGCACATCGGTTGAAATTTTTATTTTGGTATCGCTGATATACGCTGGTAGTTTTATTAATAGTTTGGATCTTTTATTATGACTTATATTCTCTTTTATTTTGTTAAAATTATTTTCATAGGTTATGTTTTAGGTTGTTTAGTTTTTTTTTAATGATTAATTTTGGTATTAATTATGTTTATTTCCCACTCCCAGTGATGGGTTGCAGCTGGAAGGGCATCAGCTGTGTAAAAACATTTGCTGGATAAGAAGTTGGCGGTTCATTCCGCTGTGGCAACCCCAGATTAATAAAGGGAGTAAGCTGAAAAAAAAAACTAATAAATAATTATGTTTAATTTTATAGATCAGATCAAATTAGATTAAGATCAAATTTAAATGGGCTACCTTGGCAAATTAATTTAATTTCCAATGTCAAGGAAGCCCATTTTCATTTAAGCTTTAATTATACTTTAATTTCATAATGCAAAAATAAGGTTTATTATATGATTTTACTTTGTTACTAACCTGGCATTTGCCATTCAAAATACAGTATAAATAAAAAAAAATTTGTTCACATGCTTACGTTTGATATGAACATTAAGTAGTTCTGAAATCCAGTTTGTTTATTCAGTATCTGAGCTTCATATGTTACATGAAAGCACTTCAGTAAAGCAATAAACCAATCAATCAATCAAAACCACTGTCCTCAGATGCTCTAGCTGCAAACTAATGTCAAATTCTGCTGTGAAAGACATGTAAAATCTTCGTCTTCAGTAGAATTCATGCTTATTGAGTCCTTGAAGGGATAGTTTGCCCAAAAAATTAAATTACCTCACCATTTGCTCTCACTTGTGTGGTTTTAAACCTTACACAGGTGTTAAACTCAGTTCCTGGAGGGCCACAGCTCTGCACAGTTTAGCTTTAACCCAAATTAAACACTGATCAAACAAATTGAGTCATTCAGGTTTGTTTGAAACCCACAGGTGTGTTGAAGCAGGGTTGGAACTAAACTGTGCAGTAACTGGATTTGACACCTATGCCTGACATTTTTCTGCACAAAAAATAAGATATTTTGACAAATGTTGGTTGATGGTAGGTAAAGTAAATTTACTTTAGAAGTGAATGGGTACCAGCTTTCTTTAAAATAACGCATTGTGTGTTAAACAGAAGAAACTCAAATAGGTTTTGAATATGTGACGGGTTAGTCAAATCAAGTTTTCGTTTTTAGATGAACTATCCCTTTAAATCTGCAGCGAATGGATGTTTTTCACCTCAGAAAACTCAACGTGTGATAGTAAATATCTTAATACAAGTACCACAAACACAATAGTTTGCGTTTAAAATGACTTTTAATCTAATTAGACGATTTTGTTTCTCAGAATAACTTTTCAACTCACATTTTTCCGGTCGCCGAGGCCTTCTGGGAGTTCAGCACGTTTGTGAAAGCTTCATGGGAACAGACGACAGTTTCCTGCTACATGGGTTTTTCATATCAAACAGCCATTTTTTCTAATTTCTTTGGCTTTCAGATTGTTGTGATTACTCTGAGGCCGCTGTATGGTTTTTCCGTACACACGCAGACACACATTTGTGTTTGAAGTTTTCTGCCAAACAGCCTTTAACACGACGGCCAACGGAAGAGGAGAGTCAATTGAGTGAGTCAATGACATCACACTGACGACACATTTATCGGCACTATGTTCAGAACACAACATTAAAGCTTCGTAGCATGTGTCACAGAGCTGTTGTTGTGATGAAAATACATTGAATTCTTATTCTGCTTTTGTTCAGTCCAGGCTTAAGAAAATTCACCCTCTAATATTCCCTTTGTGAAAGTATGAACTCAAACCCATATGTTGTTGTTAGCTCATATTGCTAGTTTTGTGAACAATTCTTGCATGTCATTAAGAAAAGAAAATAGTTTTCCATTGTAATCTAAAAAAAATAATAATAATCTAAAAACGCACTTCCTCTTTATTTTTTAGTTATTTTTTAGGCCTATTATTATTTTTTATTGTGTTTTAACAATACAAACATGGGCCTATTAATCATAACAATGGATGACATCAAGTACAATAGTAAACAAGTAAAATTAATAATAAAATAAGATAGGCTAAAAAAAACAGTAAAGAGGCAAATTATCAAATTAAATAATATTTACAAAGTCCTTTTAAAATAACACAGTTTTAAAACTTTTTTGCTTTAAACATTTTGTAAAGTAGTAATTACTTTATCCCACATAATATTTCTGAACAGATCGGAGGTCTCAATTTTTTGTGAACTTGTAGTTTTTCTCCATCCAAACCCCCTATAAAACTCTAAATTTCATGAATGCACTTGCTCTTTATTGTTTTTAGTTAAATCGTCAGATTTACGTCTGTCTGATGTATTGGGCGTGGCTAGCATAATTAACCACGCCTCTTCAACTGACAGTTTTGGCTATAGATAGATCTATGAGTTTTTACAACATGAAATATTATGGAGGAGGTGTCTGTTGGGTTTTAATATTAATTTAACAAAAAAATGGCATACTTGACCATCCAGAATCCCAGAAAACACTTTTGTGGGCAGTTAATATATGAATTATTTATTCAAGCTTCACAAACAATACTGTAGGGCTCCTTTTCTAATAATCTTCATTGATTAAAACAGTGTTAACAGGACTTTTATTAATTAATTTTATTGTTTTGTATCACAGATAACTGGTTCTCATGTGCATGATGTTTTCATGATTATGGTAACACTTCATTTTATTGGCTGTGATGCGAATATAATATTGTTAACTGTAATTAATTATATATAGTCCTTTTTCAAATATTTCCCAAATGATGTTTAACAGAGCAAGGATTTTTTCACAGTATTTCCTATAATACTTTTTCTTCTGGAGAAAGTCTTATTTGTTTTCTTTCGGCTAGAATAAAAGCAGTTTTTAATTTATTTAAAAGCATTTTAAGGTCAAAATTATTAGCCCCCTTAAGCAATTATTATTTTTTTTTGACTGTACCATCATTATACAATCACTTGCCTAATTAATCTCACTTGCCTAATTAGCCTATTTACGCCTTTAAATGTCACTTTAAGCTGTATAGAAGTGTCTTGAAAATATCTAGTCAAATATTATTTACTGTCATCATGGCAAAGATATAATAAATACGTTATTAGAGATGAGTTATTAAAACTATTTTGTTTAGAAATGTGTTGAAAAAAAAAACTTTCAGTTAAACAGAGTTTGGGTGAAAAAATATACAGGGGGGCTAATAATTCTGACTGCCCAATCCAAATCCTACGCCTTCTCCGTCCCTTAGTCCTTCCCCTCACCCCTAGTACGGGTGTCCCAATTGTTTTCAGCTTGAAGGCGTAGGAGAATGAGCTTTTTACAGTGTCTGCTATAATGCTATTGATGGTTTTCGCGTGTTTACATTGATGAATATGGCCACGGTGTAAATGCACAGTATAGTTATGATCTTATTGCCGCATTATATCATTATGACATAATATATGCCTTCCGTGATTTCCTGTAGATAATTGCCAAAAAATAACATAACTGGAATATCGTCAATCTTGTGATCATCGATCTCATATGAAGCAAGAGATCTTGAAGACGTATGATGATGAGTGCAGGTGTTGTAGTTCTGTCCCATTTCTTAGGGGTAAAATTTTAAGCCCTTCCCCTTCACACTCTGTTTCAAGGGCCAAAGGGAAAGGGTAGGGGTACAAAAATAGAATTGGGATTAGACCATATACATTGTATGCACATCTAAACTTTTTTTTAAAAAAGTGTTTAATAGTTTATAAATTACAATAGCTTATAAAATCAATATTTTTTATAATCTGAAATGTTTAAAACATCTAAAATAAACTTCCTTTAAGATTTCTGTAAAATACCTTATTTAATTATATCAGATAACTTTGTCATTGCAGCATAATACTGCTTGTATCAGATTAAAAACAGCATCACAAGAATAGTGTAGTAACAACTATATAGCATCTTTTTATTTAATCTTTTACCAGTAGATGGCGCAATATCATTTACATTGAGGCCTTCCTGTCTTTAAATCGTATTGCTACACATCTGTTGTAACAAATAAACCCTTAATTATTAAACCATAAAAAGAGAGACAAACTGATAGAAATGGATCACGACAAGATAAAAGACCGTTTCAAAATATGAATCTTATCGGCTAAAATGACAAACTTTTTTTATAACTAACAACTGTATTTCTTAGTGAACCACTGCACTGGTGTTTACAATTAAACTTGTATTATAAATTCACTATAAATTTCAAATGGTTTAAAAACTCCTCAGAAATCAACAAACAATGCTGGAATTTTATTCATGAGGTGGCAGTGCAGCACTAGCAACATCTACAGCAACTCTTAGCTTTGCTGATACTGAAAATAGTCTACAATATACACTTCTGTAGGCCGTCATCATTCAACTGCATTCTCACCAATTAAAATCATACATTATATGAGCATTTGACTAATGAATGGCTGTTTAATATTTTTAGCAACACTGCAAATGATCCACCTATTATCAAATACTTAGGCCTAAATGGTTATTCAGATGTGTATTAAAATGAGGCTTTCTTCATTTTGACAAGCACTCACCGGCCACTTTATTAGGTACACCTTACTAGTACCAGGTTGGACCCACATTTGCCTTCAGAACAGCCATAATCCTTTGTGGCATAGATTCAACAAGGTACTGGAAATATTCCTCAGAGATTTTGCTCCATATTGACATGACAGCATCACACAGTTGCTGCAGATTTGTTGGCTGCACATCCAGTATGTGAATCTCCCATTCCACCACATCCCAAAGGTGCTCTATTGGATTGACATATGGTGACTGTGGAGGCCATTTGAGTACAGTGAACCCATTGTCATGTTCAAGAAAGCAGTCTGAGATGATTCACGCTTTATGACATGGTGTGTTATCCTGCTGGAAGTAGCCATCAGAAGATGGGTACACTGTCGTCATAAAGGGATGGACACGGCCAGCAACATTACTCAGGTAGGCTGTGGCATTGACACAATGCTCAATTGGTACTAATGGGCCCAAAGTGTGTCAAGAAAATATCCTCCACACCACCACCAGTCTGAACCATTGATACAAGGCAGGATGGATCCATGCTTTCATGTTGTTGATGCCAAATTCTGACCCTACCATCCGAATGTCGCAGCAGAAATCGAGACTCATCAGACCAGGCAACGTTTCTCCTATCATCTTTGTCCAATTTTGGTGAGCCAGTGTGAGTTGTAGTTTCAGTTTTGTGTTCTTAGCTGACAGGAGTGGCACCCAGTGTGGTCTTCTGCTGCTGTAGCCCATCTGCCTCAAGGTTGGATGTGTTGTGTGTTCAGAGATGCTCTTCTGCAGATCTCGATTGTAACGAGTGGTTACTGTTGCCTTTCTATAAGCTGGAAATCTGGCCATTTTCCTGTGACCTTGCATTTGTGCACACAGAAAAGCCGCTTACTGGATATTTTCTCTTTTTCAGACCATTTTCTGTAAATCCCAGAGATGGTTGTGCGTGAAAATCCCAGTAGATCAGCAGTTTCTGAAATACTCAGACCAGCCTGTCTGGCACCAACAACCATGCCATGTCCAAAGTCACTTAAATTACCTTCCTTCCCATTCTGATCCTTGGTTAGATCTGCAGCAGATCGTCTTGACCATGTCTACATGCCTAAATGCATTGAGGTGCTGCCATCTGATTGGCTGATTAGAAATTTGCAATAACGAGCAGTTAAACAGGTGTACCTTATAAAGTGGCCGGTGAGTGTATTTCAATATATAGTAAAAACAACGATCACACAGCAGTCATTTTCAGTCAAAGATGCCTATTTATTTCCATAAAAAAGACGTTGAAACAGTTCGAATGTGACCACTTGGAAGCAAAATGCTACACCAAGTTAACGATTCAAAATATGACAATGAATGTAAAAAAAAAAAAAAAAAAAAAAAACATCATCTGAAAATGCTAAAAGAGAACAATTAAAAAAGATAAAATGTGGAAATGTTTGCATGGAATAAACATGGTAAAAGACCACTCTATTACCTACCAGAGAGAGAGAGAGAGAGAGGACAGAGGTACATTTGCCATTAAAGAAAGACTGCCAAGTGCTGGGGTAAATATATATAGATATATATCTGCTTCATTTGTCAATTTAGATCAATAAAATATAGGCCTCTGGGTACCTACTCTTTCACCTTTGTCCTAATGTTGCCTGCAAAAATACAGAGGAAAAGTGACATCCAGACATCTCTTTTTAAAAAGTACACATTGAGCATTATTTTACACCTGCGCGAGACTGAGAAGTCGATATCCGTTTACAAATAGTTATCAAAAAGAACGTTATTTCTGCGAGACGCTTCAACAAGAAAAATGGCTTTCCTGTCTCCAAGCTTATTTTCATATTCCATTATATATATATTTATATATATAAAAAATAATGATAAAAAAGAAAATCAATAAAATATACACCGAGAAATGAAAATAAAGAATAATAATAACAACAACAACGAAAAGCATTCAAAATAAACATGAACCCAAGATGTCGAGGAGAAATCAAAAACATTGATCCTTTTTTTGTTACACCAATGTCTGTGAAGAAAATGGAAACGTGTGATCCCTAAAACTGCGTCAGCCCCTGCGATGCTACATTTTAAGGGCGCGAAAGCAAGTGAGCGAGTGGACATAGTGAACACACAGGTGCCAAATAACTTAGAATAACTTAGGGACAGGTGTAGGAACGTGTGTGTGTGTGTGTGTTTGTTTACATGTGGCCATATGTGCGCTTTACAAACGGTCGAGGAACATAATCAGTGCAACGCCTTCGGCTTCGGGAGTGAATTAAAGACAACGAAAGGAAGGTGTTCACGGGTCTGCGTTAGTGATTGTCTGTTTCTCAGTTCAATGTCTCTACAGCAGCGCCTGCAGCCGAGGAGCAGATTCGAGGACCGGGACCCTCGGTGAATCCCACTGGGGTCGAGAGGTGATGAGGGGGGTGAAAGGTTGAGAAGTCTAGCAGGCTTCCATCTCTAAAAGGGGGCCTGTAGCTGCTGTCTTTGCTTTGCAAGAGGAAAAAGACGTCCGCTTTCCTCCTGCAAAAAAACACAGAGGAAGAAAAACAGGGTCAGATTTCCAATCAAAATAATCATGTGGATACAGCTATGGAAAAACCGACAGTTTCTGGATCTGCAATTGCGTTTTACAATGGTTACTATACGATAGTTACGATACAATAGTTACAATCCTATATTTACGATTCAATAGTTAAGATACGATAGTTACAATACGATAGTTACAATACGATAGTTACGATACGATCGTTACGATACGATCGTTACGATACAATAGTTATTATACAATACTTAAGATACGATAGTTACAATATTAGTTATGATTTGATAGATAATAAAAAATAGTTATGAAACAATAGTTACAATACAATAGTTACAATATGACAGTTACGATATGACATTTACGACACGACAGTTGCGATACGATAGTTGCAGTATGATAGTTGCGATACGATAGTTGCGATACGATAGTTGTAATATGATAGTTAGAATATAATAGTTGCAATACGATAGTCACAATACGATAGTTACAATACGACAGTTAAAACAGGATAGTTCCAATACAAGTTACATTACGATAGTTACAATACAATAGTTACAATATGATAGTTGCGATATAATAGTTAATACAATTGTTATGATATGAGTTACAATATGATAGTTACAATACAAAAGTTACAATATGATAGTTACGATAAAATAGTTACAATACGATAGTTACGATAAAATAGTTACAATACGATAGCTACAATACAATAGTTACGATATGATAGTTACAATAGGATAGTTAGTTTATTTATTTATTTGACATGGACATCAGTGTTTTAGCAAACACCTGTCCATAGGAGGCTTGACAAAATTGACAAGTGGAAATTGTTATGATATGATAGTTACAATATGATAATTACAATACAATAATTATGATACGATAGTTATGATATGATAGTTACGATACAATGGTTACGATGGTTACGATACAATAGTATCGTACGATACAATAGTATCGTAACCATAGCAATAGTATGTTTATTTTATTTTGTTTGTTACTGATAACATTTCTTCCCGGTTTTAAATGCAAAATGTTGTTGTTTTTAGCAGTATCTGCATAAAATGAATGTGTGTATTAATTCTAAACCTAAAGAATCAATGTTTTACTTCAAAAGAGTTATGAAATGGATTTTTGAGGAAATGTTTACAAATTTTAGTCCATTAATGACCTAAATGACAACACTTATATCACATTTGAAAGTAATGATATCAAACCTAAGAAATCCAATAAAACCAGAGAAAATAAAAACAAAAAGAACAGAAAATTCAGTCAGTATTTAGTATTAAAGATTTAACAATATATTTTGTATCCTAATAGCTTTCGCAATTGCCGTCGTGAACTAATATACATATAAAATATGGGGTTACTAAGTAAAAAAAATTAAGGTTGAAATTAAGTTAATCTGTATTAATTTGACAAAAGCAAGATAAGTAGCTCCACAGGACAGTTGGTTGGTAGTGTTTTTTTTTTTTTTTTTTTTTTTTATACAAAGGAATAATTTACTGGCCTGGCATGCATACAAATAGTTTTTTTTTTTTTTTTTTTGCCAATTTGTGTGAATTAATATTGATTTGTGAATTGTCTTCCGAACTCAAAACTGTTCAAAATCAAAAAGAAAGATGTGTTTTTTGAGCATTGTGTTGTGTTAACAAAATAATACCGATAAGACCAATTTACTTAATCATAAGCAAATGTCAGTTCACCAGGACTGTCAAGAACATTCGTTTATTCATTTTCCTTCAGCTTAGTCTCTGATTTATCAAAGGTCACCACAGTGGAATGAATCGCCAACTATTCCAGCATGTGTTTTACACAGCGGATACCCTTCCAGCCACAACCCAGTACTGGGAAACACTCAAACACTCTTCTCAAGAACATTCTGTGCATTCAAATTCTCTCTGCAAACAAATGACAATAAGTTAGCATGGAGACATGTTTCCTAATATTCAGCATTGTGCTTTCTGTTTTGAACATCAGGCCATTTAGAGCAAAAACAGATTGCAAGCGTTCCACAAATTGGCATGCTCAAAAAAAAAAGTCTCCCCGGATACCATTTTAAAACCTCTACGTCCAACATTAATCAAGAACCGCATTCTCACAAACCCAAAGTTCTCCATCACAAACTGTTTGTCCAATCTGAATCCCTTTTGAGACCTGAAATATTAAATGTAACAGACTCTATTTTTGGTCGACAAGCTGTATGGGGCTATTTCAGAAGTGCATCAAATGGAATTCCTGATCAAAGTGAGAAGCAGGAATACAGGAGCAAACCTCTGATGGATCGAGCGAGGGGAGAAAGAGAGGGAGTTGGATTAAATGCAAGACTAGTAGCCGCCTCCCTCCCTGGAGTGGAGGTCGAACGCAACCTTTTTTTTTCGACGAAGTGTCAGTTTTGCTCCGTAACTCCACCCTGGACCACTTTCACACATAAATACACCCATCTGGATGCCTTTACCACATGTGGATGAAAGCCAACTATTTTTTTTTCCAGCAAGAGATGACCCTTGGTGGCGAAAGTGAGGAGTCACTGAATAAAGTGAGCGGGGCGCTTTTATTTACCTCTCCTTGCCCGGCCTTTTCATCCTATGAACTCAAAGCTTCCCTGCACCCTCTTCCTGGAGAGTGTTTTCCTTCCCGGCCGTGTATGAAAAAAAGGTTGGCATGCTTTCCTTTCTTTCCCCGCCAGCCTCCTTTTGGGAGGGTCGGGGTGTTTGAAGAGGTTAGGATTGGTGCTCTCGGGCCACGCTTTACAGTCCTGCACCGATACAAACACAGAGCTACTTCCCATTTGCGCTGTGGAATGCAGAAGCCCGGCTTTGCAGGAAATGAAACGCTTCTCTGTATTCAAGGGCCAGCCGCTCTCCGTTCTCCTCTTGGGCCCGGCAGTAGCGAGGCGGTTCTTTGAAGTGTAGGAGGTTAAGATAACAGGCATGGCCCTGTGTCACTCAATTGGCCCGTTCACCTCCTGGGGCGAATCAAAAAAGCTTGCAGCTGGGACCAACACACCTCCTTCCTCCGGACTAAACCCTTCCTCTTTTTTAAAGTCTAGGGAAGGCGGCTTGAAGTGCTTAGAAACCAAAAAAAAAAACAACTAGAGAAAGTGAGCTGGTGAGTTTTAGAACTGCCTGTGTGCGCAATAACTGGCGGCTCCACAAGGAGGCAGCATTAACAGTGTAGGAAACTTGCATCTGACAAAATAAATGATGTAACATTACATTGCAAGCAAATAGATCTTGTTTCAATGTAGTAGGACAGTATAAAGATGATAATTCTGTGTTGCGCTTTACAGCTCACTGTAAAGCATACCATTCTAAAGGCCCGTGCACACCGAGACCTTTTTTGCCCACGTTTTCCCATCAACATTTAATGCCTCGTGACTATATAAAGGGCGTCAATGTAATTGCGCATATCCATAGATATATACGCTAGATATCGCATAGGGACCCTGAGCATGCGTCAATAGCGCCGCCACATTGGTACAGTGCTCCCAGGACAAACGTCTTTCAACCGCACTAGTCAAGACAGTGTTATTACGTGAAGATGCTGGACTTTAGCGCTGTCTACGGGTGTAACGAGCAAACAAAGAAAACAAAGCACAAAGGCAGAACATTTCATAGGTAGGATTAAGTTTTTTACGTTATTGTGAACTTTTGTGCTAATCAGGTAACGTTATTGATGATAATACAGTCACTTACTGCATTCACTATAAGTCAAAGTAGCTCCAACTCGCACTAAATACTCGGCTAATGCTAGTTTTGTTGAATAAGATCAGCAAACAATGCAAAAGATACGTTTATTATTGTCGGCTAGTAAACGAGTCGTTCGTAATGGGAGATTCATTCACAAACGAATCGCTCCCTCTGTCAGTATGAGAAGTGAAAGCAGGTGAGGGGGGGTGTTTCAGGACACGAATTAGATCAAATTTAACACGGGTGGATAGTACATTTCTGTACACTCAAACACAAGCTTTTTGTCAGGAATGCCCGTGCGGTCACTGATCCATTAATGTAGAAAAGTGATGTAAAATTATAATTTTCGTAATTAATAAAAAAAAAAAAATTGCATACTAACATCCAGAGAAACTCCCGATCACAGATATGTGTGTATATGTGTATATCTCTGGCTTTGGATGGCCTCAGTCCTCCACTGTACCTTGGTCCCGCATTCATTTCAAAGGAGCGCAACCCTGTTCCAAAATGGCGGCTTTATTGACGCATTACTTCCAATACACAACAACAGGTTAGGCGACATCTAATGTATATATCTATGGTGCATATCAACGCGCAAAACACCAGGTGCAAAACAGTCATTAAAAAAAAAAAAAACACCTCATGCTCGTTTTGATTTGATGCGCTGCAATAAAACATTCTCCACCAATCATATCTGCACTTTTGTTCACGTGCACGGAGCTGCTGAAGTTACAGTAAACAGCACTTGGAGGCGCTCAAGCGCAAAACTGTCAATGCGAGCGCACATTGAAGAAAATGCCCGGAGGCGATATGAACGTGGAGCTGCTTGTTGCTCTGTGAACAATAATCATTTCTTCATCGCTAGAGCTGGAGCTGCTACTTGAACCATCTATGCTTGTTCGAGTCACCAGAAACTTTACCAACAAGCGTGTGAACGTCCTCTCTTCCCCTTCCTCTGTGTTAAAATCGGCTGTCGGAAGCTCAAAGTTGTATAGCTCCATCTGACGTCAAAGGAGTGATTGTGCATACTCTTCTGCTTGACGCCTGTGAAAATTACTCGGGTTTGAATACGGAAAAATACGACACCCCTGGTTTATATCAATGGAGAGTGAGCGACTTTCTGCGACCTCGCAACGTGAGTGAGAGCGACCATTGGAAACCAGGTGGCCGTCTCAAGTGACTTGACAAAGTTGAGAATCCTTTAACTTTATACAAATGAAGAGCGACATTTTTGAGCGACAGCCAATATGTGCGGTGTAGAGGTCACATGAGCCTCTCACAGC